ACATTTTTCTCATTGTCTTGGCTACTAACATTTCGTTCCTCATTATTTCTGCAAATTTTTGCAGCCAGCTTGAATTTATCCCCAGAAAACAGGTTTTTCTTTTCTGCCACATAGGATGCAAATTTTCCAAACTCGTATGCTCAACTTCCTTTTTAAACACAAGGTCCTCATTTCTATCTGAGACCACCCCAGCCTGGACTTCATATCACTCTCAGCATTTTGGTCAAAACTATTCAACAAATGTCTACAAAGTTCCAAACTTTCCCACATCTTCCTCTCTTCTTCTGAGAAGTTCCAACCTGTTCCCACTACCCAGTTCCAAAGTTGTTTCCACATTTTCAGGTTATCTTTATGTGAGTGTCCCATTCCTGATACCAATTTACTGTACTGGTTCATTTTCACACTGCTATAAAGAAATACCCAAGACTGAGTAATTTATAGAGAGGCTTAACTGACTCATAGTTCCACATGGCTGGAGAGTTCTCAGGAAACTTACAATCATGGCAGAAGGGGAAGCAGGCAGCTTCTTCACAAGGCAGCAGGAGAGATAGTGTGTGTGTAGGAGGAACTGTCAAACACTTATAAAACCATCAGATCTGTGAGCACTCACTCACTGTCATGAGAACAGCATGGGGCAATCTGCCCCCATGACCCCATCACCTCACACCACTCCCTCCCTTGACACTTGGGGATTATGGAGACTATAATTAGAGGTGAGCTTTGGGTGGGGACACAGAGCCAAACCATATCACCGTCTCTACAAAAAATACAAAAATCAGCTGGATGTGGTGGCACATGCCTGTGGTCCCAGCTACTTGGGGGCCTGAGGTGGGTAGATGGCTTATGCCCAAGAGGTGGAAGCTGCAGTGAGCTGTGATGGCACCACTGTGTTCCAGCCTAGGCACTATGTCTGAAAAACATAAAAATATAAAAAAGATCTACCAGGGTCCCTTTCCCTGAAATACTGCAAGCAAGACTGACCCAGCCCCACCCTCTCAGTGGTTGAGAGACACAGTACCTGAGGTGGGGCCGAGAGCACAGCCCCCACACAACGAGGCATCGGCAGGACTGGCACAGGTGGCTGGTTAGGCTCTGAGAGCTGACCCTGTACCCGCATGGGGCCCAGACAATCCAGCACATCCACACCTGGGCACCAGTGGGTCCCAGGATGTGACCTTGATGTTAGGAGCCTGAGGCAGGGTTAGGGCCCGTGTGCTTTCTAGTCACCCAGACCCAGGGGCCCAACATGGCTCTCTTTGGCTGAGACAGGTGAGGTGCTGAGCTTAGCCATGGGCCACTGTCTGGGGTTCTTCACCATCTGGCTCTCTCCATGTTGGCCCAATCAGAGGTTACCATGGTCGTCACCATTCCATAACGTGGTCCACCTTTCATCCCTGGACCAAGTGGCCCTACGCCCTCAAAGAGTCAGGCAGTCTTCCTGCCAGATCACAGCTCCGGAGGGCCAGGTGGTGTCTCTGGATGTCCAGGGCCCGAGGCGGCTGAAGGAAAAGATTGGGTGCCAGGACCATATAGTGAGGCCCCCGGCTTCCCGAGGGTCGTGATGGGATCCATCCATGCTGGCTGCAGCCCTCACCGGTCTCTGACTTGGAGAAACCCTGGCTGAAGGTGGCACCCACTGCCCGGGGGCTTCAGTGACCCCAGTCCTGTAAGAGGGTCTCCTCGGGCAATAGTCCTCACTCGGCTCTGACAGAGAACAGCAGGAAAGTCTCCATCTCGACAAGTTCACTTCGGCCTGGCGCACGAGCAAACACTATTCGCTCAGCAGCAAGGGCACCCGCTGGCGAAACAGGTGCACCCCTCGCAGGGGTGGGCGGGGCGGAAGAGGCCGAGGGAAGCCGGGCTGGCTCCGCACGGGGAGCCGCTGCGGGACCCGCACTACGAGGACGCGCGTGGGCTGTGTCTTTGCACCGGGCTGGCCGCGTTCGTGGCTGGTTGGTGACTCCCTGAGTCCCAAGCGACGGCGCCCTCTGGCCCTGTCCTCCGAGCCAGGCCCGCGCTCCTTCTCCAGCGGCCTCTGGACGCCGCGGACCCAGCCCCGGGGGTTCCTGCCCAGCGAGGCCGCGGCCAGGCGCGCGTCGGACTGGGCCCGGCTTGGCGCGAGCTGCCACCCGCTCCGCGGCGCCCGGCCCTGGGGGCCCAGAAAAAGGGGCATCGCTGTCCAATCGCCGCGGCCGCTGACGCCCGGCGCCCGTGGGTTTCCCTGGCCGCGCGCGTCCCGCCCCGCGTCCGCCGCCCCGGTGGTGCCCGGACCTGGCCCCGACCTCCCGCCCCAGGAGCCTGGTGGGCCGCGGTCCGGGCGTTCGTCCTGGCCCCGTCGGCGCCTCTGCCTCCGCCGCCCCTGGGTGACTTCTCGGGCCCCCGCATCTGCGGAGTCCTCCCGGGCAGGGGCTGCGCCTCACGGGACGCGTCGCGGGTCTGGGCAGGGGGCACGCGGCAAATCTGGGGACACAGACGCGGCCTCCGACTGCTCCTGTGCTGGGGTTCGGTTCCGTGTCAGCCTCTCCCGTTGGACCCTCGACTCGGGAGAGGCCTGAGGGGCGGGGCCTGTGACGCTCCCGGAGGACGGGACTGGGTGCCCCCCAAGGCTCCGAGGAGGAGCAGCCAGGCCCTACAGAGACTGGCCCTTAAAAGGATTCTTGTTCCAAAATTGGACGGATCTTTTGGTTTAAAAACGTTCTCTAGTACTCGCCCTTCTCTCCCCTAGCTCGGTTTTGGAATAAATCATGACACTGGTTTGCAGTAATGACTTTATGCCTATTAATATCCTAGAAAACAGGCAGATACACTGAACATTTATTATTTATCACTACTTTGAGACAGGGTGTCACTCTGTCCCAGAGGGCAGTGGTGCCATCTCTGCTCCCTGCAAGGTCGAACTCCCAGGCTCAAGTGATCCTCCCACCTCAGCATCCCAAGTAGCTGGGAGCACAGGTGCCTTCATCACCACACAGGGCTAGTTTTTTGTTTTGTGTGTTTTGTAGAGACGGGCTTCTCTATGCTGCCCACGCTGGTCTAGAGCTCTGGGGCTCAAGTGATTCCCCCCCACCCCACACTCCTTGGCTGCCCAAAGTGCTGGGATTACAGACATAAGCCACCATGCCCAGCCTGTATATTTATTATTTATTCTTGAAAACCAAAGGTGCTCTGATAAAATCCAGCTTTGGCTGATTAATCGCCCAGCTCAGCCAGAGAAATGTGATTAGAACGTTTTCCTCCATGCAAATTTAGAAGCCCACACTGCAAGGGGCCCTGGTGCCGGCGGTGTGATCAGTTCTTTCTACTGAGACTGGTGGCCCCTCTGTGATGTAATAAGGGTGTTCTGAGTTGATTGAAGGAATTGCATCATGAAAGCACATCCTCGTTTACCTCTACAGGCCACTCACTGGAGTTGTCCAAGGAAGAATTTAGTAAGGATGAGACAGCTGGCCTGGACCTGCCTGGTGTCCACCCGGAAAGCCCCAAAGTGGCCTCGGGGTAGATAAAGCAGGAGCCTGCACTGTGGCCTGGCCTGTGTGGCTGCCTGGGGGAAGCACAGGGACATGGAGCCCAGAGCAGGTCAGCCATGGCAGAGTCTTTCCCTGCTCACTGGGGGATGGCACTTCCCTGGGTCCTCAGTGTCTCCTACTTCCTAGTAGGCATCCACATTGACATCCCTGCTGGTGGGGCAAGATGGGGCCAGTTCATAGCCAGGGTCCTGTCCTGTGCACGAGCTGCCACTGCCTGGCTCCAGCTTTAGCCAAGAGGTAGAAGAGGGAGGGGGTACTGGGGAAGGGGCAAGGTCCCAGAGTAGGACTGAAAACCTGGACCCCAGCACTCAGCACACCCAGGTTTCCTGCACAGCATTCTCTCCAGCCCTGGGACCTGACAGCAGAGTCCCTGAATGGGGGACAGAGGTGATGGGGGTGAAAAGGGACCCTTTCGGAAACCTGTGTCCCACTTGCAAATGGAGCCTGGACACTGTTTCTGGCACTGGCTCGCGGCCTCTCCCCTGGTGCTGCAAAGACCTTCCTGGACTGCCCTCCAAGTCACTGGGCTCCATGATGGGATCAGGGTGGGCTTCCCAAGGGGATCCCACCTGTGTGTGAGGCCCCCATCCTCCACCACACGGTGCAGGAACTGCTGGCCCCTCCTGCCTGAAGCTGCTTCCTGTGGCCCCGTGAGCCACTTAGGCTCTGCTGCTGCCCCTGACCCCAAGCCCTTTGTCCCAAGGCCCCAACTCCCGGAAAGGGATGGAGGACAGGTACACGTGTGGGCGGGGCTGCAGACCTGCAGCTGGCTGCTGGTGCAGGTGGTGGGTGAGATCGACCTGGAAATCCATTCCCTGCAGTGCTCAGTGCCCGGAGGGGCTGGGGCTGGGCTGGGGCTGGGGCGGGCCTGGGGCGGGGGTGACTCATGGTAGCTCCAGACTCCCCTGGCCTTTCAACCTCATCAGCTTTCATCCCTCTCCGGGGACACGGGTGACCCCAGCCCGCAGGAGCCCGGCACACCCCTCCTTAGGCCCCACTCCCCACTCAGACTCCCGCATTCACCCCTTTTCTTTCTTCACTGAATCATTTATGCCTGTGGGCCACACATACAGGGGCCAGGAGCTGCTCATGGGTGCCCAGAACCAGGGGTCAGCCAGGAACCAGGAACTCATGTCAGGGAGGACACCCCGGGCCCAGGCCCAGGCCCAGAACCAGGTAGATGGGGCGGGAACCGGCAGGACAGGGCCTGGGCAGCGGGTAGGGATGGGCCCCAGACTCCCCTGGGGGGAGCCGCGCCATTAAAGCAGATCCGGGTGGGGCTCAGACAAGGCCTGGACCACCCATCGCGAGAACGCGCGCTCCGCCTGTGTGCGCCTCGTTCCGGGGGGCACGGAGTCTCTTCGGGGGTCCCCGGGGGAGCACAGTGCTGGCCTCACTCACGGCTGGCCTGGTGGGGGCGGGAGAAAGGCCAGCCGGGCAGGGGACGCGCAGGAGAGACAGAAGACACCGGCGGACGACGCGAAATCTTTACTTAGAGAAAACGACAGAGTCAGAGACCCAGCGGGCGGGGCTGCAGCGAGGGCGCCTGGGGCGAGACACGAACATGGAGAGCGGGGGCGGCGCGCTGGTCACAGGAGCTGCCGGGGGGCGCTGCGGAGACAGGGCGCGAGGGTTGAGAGCCCCGGCGGACCCCGCGCCCGTTCACCCGCCCCGCGGCCCTCGCAGGCTCGGACTCGCACCCCCACCCAGAGGAGCCCGCGGGCCGGGTCGGCGGCCCCCGGGAGGGAGCAGGGGGAAGGGGTGGCGGGGTCCCGGGCTCGGAAGCGGTGGCGGGAGGCCTGGAAGGGCCCCGGGCCCAGCCGCTCGGAGCCCCGCGGGGCGCACCTACCCCGGGCCGGGCTGCGGGCGGGGGACCGTCACTGCGCGGGCGGGGGCGCTGCGCTCCCCGCCGCCTCCTTCTCCGCCTCCGCGGACGGCTTCCCGGGGGGTTCGGTGGCCGCCGCCGCCCCAGCCTGGGTGGGCCCCTTGCGCTCCTCCTTGTTGGCGCGGTGGCCGTCCCCCCAGGGCGCCGGCGGCTCGGTGCCGTGCTTGCGGCTGAGCGGGTAGGCCCCGATGGCCGCCAGGACGCTGCGGTGGCGCTCCGGGTCCATCTCGGCGTAGTACATCTCCAGGGTCAGCGGCGCGCACAGCTTGTGCTGCGGGAGGGGCCGGGTCAGGGCCGCGGGGCTCAGCCCTCCTGGACCCGGACCCTCCCGCTTCCGAGGCTGGGGGCACTGCAGACCGTTTCCAATGGGGCCATGGTTTCGGGACACCGAAGGCAGCCACAGGCTCAGCACTCGGGGCCGTGGAGGGCCACGGGGCCGGGGGGTCGCTGTCGGGTTGTAGGGGAGGGGGCCGCCTGGGGAGCCGCGCGCAGGCACCAGCGGACCTGCCCAGCCCAGCGAGGCCTCTGTGGAGCGCGGCAGCGCATAAACCATGGAGTGAAGGAAAAGGGGCAGATTTCACTTCTGTAAAATGCAAGGCTTTCGAGAAACACACTAAAAGCTACAACCATCACTGGCAAAGAGAACAATAGGAAGGAAGAAGATATGTAGGAGCATTAATATGTTACACAAAAATAAAACCTTGCACAAGTCACTCGGGGGACAGATGACGCCCTGGAGAGACGGCTGGAGGGTGACTTTTGCTTTAGTGATGGCTTAGAGAAAGTCGTCATTAAAATATCAAGTTTTCAAAAAACAGGATCTCATGTTCTGGAGAAGTAACAGGAACACGGATTTGGAGACCACGTTCCCCAGCAGCAGGAAGCAGCCCTGCCGTCCCCTGACTGGAAGCCACGGGAGGACGGGCTCCACCACTCCCCACCAGAGACAGGCCCCTTACCCGAGTCAAGAAGCCGTTGGGGCAGCTGAACTGGTCGTACCAGATGGCCTTGTACAGGATCAGCACGCAGCCCATCAGCGCCATGGTGAAGGCGATCATCCGTCCCGTGGGCAGCTGGCAGGAGGACAGGGAGGGGCTCAGCCACGCAGGGTAGGGGCCGGCTTTGTGGGGAGCCCCTCAGGGGCTGGGGCTAGCACAGGACCACCCCCACCCCAGGCAGTTAGTGACTTTGCCACGGGTCAGCGGCACAGTCAAATGTGCAGGTGCCACCCCTGGAGGCCAGGCCTTGCTGGCAGCCCCTCCACCGGGACTCTGGAAACATCTGCCACCATGGAAAGTGATGTGGCCTTTGTCCCAGGTGGGTCTTGCAGGAATTTGCAGCTTCCCTGTGGTGTGGGCTCCACAGGGGATGGGGGCTGTGGCCTCTGGTGAGTTGGAGGCTGAACTCACCAGCCCTGCCAGGGTGCTGCCCATAGTGGGTGCGGCAACATGAGCCGCACTGGAAGGTGAAGCCGGGGTGGGGAGCTCCAGCAGACACAGTGGGGTTAGGGCAGGCCTTACTACTGAGGAATGACAGGCTTTGAAAACAGTCCACTGAACATGACTGAAGCTATCATTACAACGTTGAAAGATTTAAAACAGAGGAAGAGGAAGGTATTTCCCAGATACACGGCAGGAAGAAAGTATGACACAGAAAGCCTGCAAGTCGCTGAAGATGGGCAATGACCACAGGGCGACAGACTAGCCTCGAAGGCAGGCGCTTCCCAGGAAGAGAAACATTTCGGGAGCTCTGCATTCCGTTGGCACCTGCAGCCTCCAGAGGGGGCCTGATGAGTGCAGGGCAGCCGGAGGCCAGCTCTGGGCGGGATGACTCACTGCCACCTTCTCCTCCCTGAGAGCCGGGGCAAGGGGCCCCCAGCCCGGCCTGGCCTGAGCCCAGGCACCCCCAGCCGCCCTCCACCTTCTCCCCCTGCCCCGAGTCACCAGAGTGTGGGGGGTGGGTGTGGTTACCCTGCGCCCTTCCTCTGGGTGGCTGCAGTTCGGCTTCTGGCCCTCCAGGTCAGGGAACTTCTTCGGCTGGTCTGAGGAGGACAGCTGGTATTCTGTCTGCGTCTTGATGACCACCTGTGAAAAGAGATGGCCATGGTCTCGCTGGGCAGCTGGCAGGGACCCAAGAGAGCACTGAACTGAGAGGAGAGGAAGGCAGGGTCAGCTTTGTGGCAGTGGTGTTGACGCTGACCGTCTGCCAGGACTGTCTCAGTGGAAGGCAAGGTTCCAGCAGCCACAGAGTGAGGCCGAGGGAAGGTGGATGCTGAAAGTCTGCTGGAGCCACGGCAGCCCTGGGCCTGGCCCGACCGCTGACAGAGCACATCAGTCTGCTGCTGCCTCCAACTCAGGGTGCTGGAGAACTGCCCTTGGCCACCAGGGGTAGTCCTCCTGCCCCGGGTCCCCAGCATAGATGCTGCCCCCACTACCAGCAGGGACAACTCGGGGTGCCCTTCATGCTGCACGACTCCCTGGTGGTCAGACTGCGCTGGGCTCAAGCTGAGCTCTGCTTCTCCCTTCCCCCACTGGTCACTTGCCCAAGGACCCCTGTCTCAGGCTCAACCCAGGACAGAGCCATGCCCCAAGGGGAAGGGTGGGAAGCCTTGTCTGCTCTATGGACAGCAAGTGGGTCGGGTGCTGGCTGGGAGTCACTGCGTGATTTCCCAGTTATGTGTCCGCCAGTTCGCCCCGTTCTGGCACGTGGGAGCTGACCAGGAGGTCACAGAGCACCTGGCCAACTGGGGTTTTGGCCCTCATGGCCCTTCCTCCGCTTGCTCTACCGCACCTGGGAAGAGGCCACATCTAGACAAACTTCACCCCACACCCGTTTGTTTCCAGGGGAGCCTGAGAAGGGCCCTCATGCCGCCCAGGACCTCACCTGCTCAGGGAGTGGCGGCTGGAGCTGGCTGACGTCCAAGGGACTGATCAGAGGTACACTGTCCATGGTGACCGCATCCTGGTCCCCAGGGTCTTTACCTGGCTTCCCAGAGAAGCTGCAGCCCAGCTTCACCATGGTAGACAGCGGCCCTTATCCTGTCCAGACACAGACAGGGTCACTGTCTACAGGCTGTCCACTGGACACCCACGCCACCTGGCTCTGAAGCCAGAGGGCCCTGAGCTGGTTCTGATGCTCCTTACACCAGAGCCGGGGACAGGCTGTAAGGGGTCAGGCCAGCCTCTGGGCAAACCCAGCAAGTCCAGCCAGATGCTTCCTGTCCCTTCTTGACCCCCACAGCCCCTCTGGACCCCACAGCATTGCAGGGGAGAGAGCCCCAGCCAGGACTGTCCATGAAGCCGAGGGAGTCTTCCACCGGCGGCTGCTCTAGACAACCTCCTCCTCCTCCTTTTCCTTCTTCTTCTTCTGAGTGCAATGGTGCCACCTTGGCTCACTGCAGTCTCTGTCTCCTGGGCTTAAGCAATCCTACCGTCTCAGCCTTCCTAGTACCTGGAACCACAGGCGTGCTCCACCACACCTGTCATTCTACATGGGGGCAGAGGGGCAGGAACGCGCAAAGCATCTTGGAAAAGAACGTGGAGGAGTGTCACCTGCCGGGGGCTGGCTTCCTGCACATCGTTAGAGATTGACTGGGGTGGGGCTGCTGCACGCTGGGAGAAGTCCCACTTGACACACTGCACACACGCACTGCGGATCTGCAGCGTGGCTCCCTCTCAATAAACCGCTGTCCACATCAAAGACAGCGAGCCTGATCCCTGCCTCACATTACACAGAGAAGTCTACACCGGCCGAATAAACCTAAACTGGACAAGCAGAACAATAAAGCATCTCAGAGATAGTAAAGTAGATTATTCTGGTCTCAGGGAGGGAAAAATTTTTTCATTAGGACAATAGGCACTAACCATAAAAGGAAATATTGATAAAATGACTTCACTAAAACTATGAACTTCTGCTTAAAAAAATGGATGCAGAAAAAAATTTAATTTAATTTAAAAATAGAAGCAGAACCCAAGACTAGAAGAAGACAGTTGCAACCCACAAATGATGGGCACGTTGTGAGTTGTGATGTTTCCTCAAAAATACGCCCAGGTCTTAGGATCTGGGAGTGCCTGTGAATGGGATCATACTTGGAAATAGGTTCTTTGCAGATGGAATTGCGCTAAAACAAACTTGTCCCAAACCAGGCCGGGCCCTGATCCAAAACTGGTATCCTTAATAAAACAGGGAAATTAGGTCGTTTGAGGTAGCTCACGCCTGTAACCCCAGTACTTTGGAAGGTGGAGGTGGGCGGATCATGAGGTCAGGAGTTCAAGACCAGCCTGGCCAAGATGGTGAAACCCCATCTCTACTTAACATACAAAAATTAGCCAGGTGTAGGGACAGGCACCAGTAATCCCAGCTGTTTGGGAGGCTGAGGCAGAGAATAGCTTGAACCTGGGAGGTGGAGGTTGCAGTGAGTCAAAATCATGCCACTGCACTCCAGCCCGGGCGACAGAGCAAGACTACGCCTCAGACAGACAAACAGACAGACCAGGGAAATTAGACATCGGAGGGTGCCATGTGTACATGGAGCAGAGGCTGGAACGCTGCAGCTGAAACCCAAGGAACGCCTGGCCACCAGAAGCCGGGGGAAGCGAGGAAGGAGCTCCCCTCGAGGCTCTGGAGGGAGCATGGCCCTGCAAACACCTTCGTTTTGGACTTCTCGCCTCCAGAACTGTGAATGACTTTGTCATTCTAAGCCACCTGCTTGTAATTTGTGACAGCAGCACTAGGATGTCCAGGTAACTGCCAGAGCCAGCAGTGACCACTCTTCCTGCCCTGCAGAGGCCGGCCTTCTGTGGGTTCCAGGTGTGGGTAGGCACCACGGGAACAGGAGCAGGGGACCCACAGTCACAGAGCGTCTGCCCAGCTGCTGCCACTCAGGTACAGAGAACGTGTGGAGGCATCTCGTGGAGGTGAGGGTGGAAGGAACCGAGGGTGGAATGATTTGAAGGTGGAAGATTCCGAGGGGGGACTGCGGAGGGCGAGGGGTGGGGAGGATCTGAGGGGCGAGGGGTCGGAAGGATTGTGGAGGGGCGAGGAAAGGATCCCAGGGGTGAGGGTCTGAGGGCAGAGGAATCCCACGGGGAAGGATTGCAGGGGTGGGGGTGGAGGGGAGGAAGGACATGAGGGCAGAGGGGTCCAAGGTGGGAAGGCTCCGAGAACAGAGGTATCTGAGGGAGAAGGACCTGAGGGGGAAGGACCTGAGGGGGGAAGGACCTGAGGGGGGGAAGGACCTGAGGGGGGGAAGGACCTGAGGGGGGAAGGACCTGAGGGGGGGGAAGGATCTGAGGAGGGGAAGGATCTGAGGGGGGGAAGGACCTGAGGGGGGAAGGACCTGAGGGGGGGAAGGATCTGAGGGGGGAAGGACCTGAGGGGAGGAAGGACCTGAGGGGGGAAGGACCTGAGGGGGGGAAGGATCTGAGGGGGGAAGGACCTGAGGGGGGGAAGGACCTGAGGGGGGAAGGACCTGAGGGGGGGAAGGACCTGAGGGGGGGAAGGACCTGAGGGGGGGAAGGATCTGAGGTGGGGGAAGGATCTGAGGGGGGAAGGATCTGACGGGGGAAGGACCTGAGGGGGGAAGGATCTGAGGGGGGAAGGACCTGAGGAGGGGAAGGATCTGAGCGGGGGAAGGATCTGAGGGGGGAAGGATCTGAGGGGGGGAAGGATCTGAGGGGGGGAAGGATCTGAGGGGGGGAAGGATCTGATGGGGAGAAGGATCTGAGGGGGGGAAGGATCTGAGGGGGGAAGGATCTGAAGGGGGGAAGGATCTGAGGGGGGAAGGATCTGAGGGGGGAAGGATCTGAAGGGGGGAAGGATCTGAGGGGGGGAAGGATCTGAGGGGGGGAAGGATCTGAGGGGGGAAGGATCTGAAGGGGGGAAGGATCTGAGGGGGGGAAGGATCTGAGGGGGGAAGGATCTGAAGGGGGGAAGGATCTGAGGGGGGGAAGGATCTGAGGGGGGGAAGGATCTGACGGGGAGAAGGATCTGAGGGGGGAAGGATCTGAAGGGGGGAAGGATCTGAGGGGGGGAAGGATCTGAGGGGGGAAGGATCTGAGGAGGGGGAAGGATCTGAGGGGGGGAAGGATCTGAGGGGGGGAAGGATCTGAGGGAGGGAAGGACCTGATGGGGGGAAGGACCTGATGGGGAGAAGGATCTGAGGGGGAAGGACCTGAGGGGGAAGGACCTGAGGGGGGAAGGACCTGAGGGGTGAAGGACCTGAGGGGGGAAGGACCTGATGGGGAGAAGGATCTGAGGGGGAAGGACCTGAGGGGGGAAGGACCTGAGGGGGGGGAAGGACCTGAGGGGGGGAAGGACCTGAGGGGGGAAGGACCGGAGGGGGGGAAGGACCTGAGGGGGGGAAGGATCTGAGGGGGGAAGGACCTGAGGGGGGAAGGACCTGAGGGGGGGAAGGACCTGAGGGGGGGGAAGGACCTGAGGAGGGGAAGGATCTGAGGGGGGAAGGACCTGAGGGGGGGAAGGACCTGAGGGGGGGGAAGGACCTGAGGGGGGGAAGGACCTGAGGGGGGAAGGACCTGAGGGGGGGAAGGACCTGAGGAGGGGAAGGATCTGAGGGGGGAAGGACCTGAGGGGGGAAGGACCTGAGGGGGGGAAGGACCTGAGGGGGGGGAAGGACCTGAGGAGGGGAAGGACCTGAGGGGGGAAGGACCTGAGGGGGGAAGGACCTGAGGGGGGGAAGGACCTGAGGAGGGGAAGGATCTGAGGGGGGAAGGACCTGAGGAGGGGAAGGATCTGAGGGGGGAAGGATCTGAGGGGGGGGAAGGACCTGAGGAGGGGAAGGATCTGAGGGAGGAAGGACCTGAGGAGGGGAAGGATCTGAGGGGGGAAGGATCTGAGGGGGGGAAGGATCTGAGGGGGGAAGGACCTGAGGGGGGGAAGAATCTGAGGGGGGGAAGGATCTGAGGGGGGGAAGGACCTGAGGGGGGGAAGGATCTGAGGGGGGGAAGGATCTGAGGGGGAAGGACCTGAGGAGGGGAAGGACCTGAGGGGGGAAGGATCTGAGGGGGGAAGGATCTGAGGGGGGGAAGGACCTGAGGGGGAAGGACCTGAGGGGGGAAGGACCTGAGGGGGGAAGGATCTGAGGGGGGAAGGACCTGAGGAGGGGAAGGATCTGAGGGGGGGAAGGATCTGAGGGGGGGAAGGATCTGAGGGGGGAAGGACCTGAGGGGGAAGGACCTGAGGGGGAAGGACCTGAGGGGGGAAGGACCTGAGGGGGAAGGACCTGAGGGGGGAAGACCTGAGGGGGGAAGGACCTGAGGGGAGGGACCTGCGTGGTGGGAGTGAGACTGGACAGCCGGGTCTGGGTAGGGGATGGGGAGGCCGCTCTGAGCGGGAAGGAGCTGGGCTAGGGGTGACAGGGCTCCCAGACCCAGACTTGGCCAAGCCCTCTGGAGCCCTAACCCATGCCCCTCTTTGTCATGTGCTTATCGCAGGCGACCCTATGCCCGGCCCAGCCTTTCCAGATGAAGCCACACCGTGGAGCCCAGCCTCCCACCCCGGGCTGGAGGCTCTTCCTGAGGTGGGTCCCCACGTGGCCGGGGCAGAGGGGACGGCCACTCCGCTGGGGAGGTGTCCGCGTGCACCTGTGGTGCAGAAGCGCCCTGTGTGTGCAGGGACTGACGAGGCGCTACCGAGCTTGAGTACAAACAGCCGCGATCCAGGGAAGCAGAGCCCGAGAGGCGGGGAAGGACGTGGCTGTGGGGCGCGGGCAGCAGTGCCAGGGCTTGACGGGGAGCTTGGCCCGCGGGGGTGGGAGCGCCACCGAGCAGGAGGGGTCGCGGGTCTTCCCGGAGCGGACGCCCAGAGCAAGCCCAGCCTCTGCACAGACGGGAGACGGGGAGGCGGAGGAGGCGGCGCAGTCCCGCCCCAGACCCCGCAGCGCCCGCCATAGGGTGCGCAGGACCCCGCCAGGAGGAGCTGCGCTTCCGACTCTGACGTTCCCTTCCAGCCAAACTTCAACTGCAACTCCTCTGACGGCCAGTTGACGCCATCGCGGGTTTCCTTGGCAACGGAGACAGGCCCAAGACGCGTCTTCAGGAAGAAAAGGCCATTGGGGGCCCGCTGGAGCCTCGCTCTGGTTCCAGGCCCAGCGCCCCGGGCGGAATGTGGGGGAGTGCTGGCCTGCGCGTGGGGTCCACCGGTCCCTTTGCCCTGCTGCGTCATGAGGGCCTCTCCCCACGGCAGACACGCGTCTCGTGGACCTGGGGGCCCCTCTGCTCCTCCCCCGACCCCTCCCTGCATCTGCGCTGTCGCCGCGTTTTCTGCGGGTCCCCTGCGCCCCACCCGTCGCGCTCTGGCGGGGAGGCAGCGCCGGGCTCCTGTCTGGGTGGGGGGGCGGGGTGCTGATGGCAGACGGGTGGGGGCGCGGGTGAGCGAGGCCGTGCGGATGCAGGATGGATGGCGGGGCCGGGGGTGCAGGCTCTCAGTCGAAAGTCCACAGAAGCTCGGCTGGAGGTCACGTCACCGACTCGCTTTCGCACGCGCCCTCCAACCCTGGAATGCTGCGTCACGCGGGCGGTGCGCGCAGGTGCGCGGGCGCGGGCTGGTGCGGGCCGGGCACGAGCGCGTGTGACTGCGGATCCCCGAGGGTCCCGCCCCGCCCCCGCGGGCCCCCCCGCGGCCTCCCGCCCCTGGCGCTGCAGACGGCCGTGGCCGCCCGGCTGATTCCAAGGCAGCTGCAGTGCGGAGCCAGCGCGCCGTGCGCAGAGGAGTGAGCGCGCAGCTGCTCCCGCTTCCCACAGCCGCCACCTGTGGCCCCGCGCTCGAGCCTGCCGCAGCCGCAGGTGGTTCGGCAGCCGCGCCCTCCCGGCCTCCAGGCCGGCTCCTGCCTGTCGCCCAGACGCCCCCATCGAGACCACCCCCCGCCCCCCGACCCCGCGCGGGCAGCGGCTCCTCGGTGCTCTGGTCCGACGCCCCTTCTGCCGCCCGCCCCACCGCGCCCCCGCAGACAGAGCTGCACAAGAGCTGGGACTGGCACCCCCTGCCCACCTCGGGGACACCCCGAACTGCAGGCTGCGACCCTCGTGCGGGGCCGGGCCGTCCCAGGAAGCCTGGAGACCACCGCCCTCGGGCCAGCGGGGCCGGCCTGGGGCAGGAGGAGGGGGCCTAGGGAGGAGGCCGGCCGGGCGGAGGGACCCGCGGGTCAGCCGCAGCGCGCCCTGCACACTCGCACCCCGCATGCGCGCCTGGCACACACACCCTCCAGACACGCACTCGACACGCACACCCCCCGCGCACACACACACACTCCAGACACGCACATCCCCCGCACACAGACTCCAGACACGCACATCCCCCGCACACAGACTCCAGACACGCACATCCCCCGCACACAGACTCCAGACACGCACACACACACCCCGCACAAACACGCACTCCAGACGCGCACACCCCCCGCGCACACACACTCCAGACACGCACACACACACCCCCGCGCACACACACTCCAGACACGCACACACACACCCGCGCACACACACTCCGGACACGCACACACACTCCAGACACGCACTCCGCACACACACCCGGCACACGCACACTCGCACCCCGCACACGCGCCTGGCACACACCCCAGACGCACACTCACACCTTCATCCGCACATGCGCCACGCACAAGCGCACTGAAACCTCCGCCCACACCGGAGCCACGAGAACTCACGCGCCTCGCACCGCGCACCCCCGGGCCCCCGCCCCGCTCGCGGGGAGAAACGTGCAAACGGCTCACGGGCGGCTCCGCCGGCGGCTGCCGCAGGACGGGTCCGGGAGGAGACGCTGCGGATGTGGATGCGGAGGACGCGCTTCCAGACTCTTCGCAGCCGGGCGGGGCAGGGGCTGCCGGCGAGACCGAGGCTGCGGTCGCCATGGAAACGCGCTGGAGGCGGCGCCTGGGCTCGCGCCCCGCACCGGGCACCCCCACCGCTCCTGCTGGGAGCCGCGCCTGCGCGCCTCCGACCCTGCCCGGGCCCACCACACGCGCACCTGACACACACACACACACCCCGACACACACCTCACTGCCCAGACACACACACTGACAACCCCCAGAAACACACACCCCACACACTCCAGACACACAACCTCACAGCCCAGACACACCTCACACACACCCGGCACACACACCCCAGACACACACACACCTGACAACCCCCAGAAACACACACCCCACACACTCCAGACACACACACAACCTCACAGCCCAGACACACCTCACACACACCCGGCACACACACCCCAGACACACACACACCCCTCACTGCCCAGACACACACACCTGACAACCCCCAGAAACACACACCCCACACACTCCAGACACACACACACACCCCAGACACACATACACCTCACTGCCCAGACACACACACCTGACAACCCCCAGAAACACACACCCCACACACTCCAGACACACACACAACCTCACAGCCCAGACACACCTCACACACACCCGGCACACACACCCCAGACACACACACACACCACTGCCCAGACACACACACCTGACAACCCCCAGAAACACACACCTCACACACACCCCACACACTCCAGACACACACACAACCTCACAGCCCAGACACACCTCACACACTCCCGGCACACACCCCAGACACACACACACACACCTCACTGCCCAGACACACACACCTGACAACCCCCAGAAACACACACCCCACACACACCCCACACACTCCAGACACACACACACATCCCAGACACACACACACCTCACTGCCCAGACACACACACCTGACAACCCCCAGAAACACACCTCACACACACCCCACACACACCTGACACACACCCCACACACACCCGACATACACACCCAGACACACACCTCACAGCCCAGACACACACACCTGACAACCCCCAGAAACACACACCTCACACACACCCAGACACCTACCCACACACACATCTCACACACACCCCACTCACATTCCAGACACACCTGACAACCCCTAGAAACACACATCTTACACACACCTCACACCCCAGAACACACACCTCACACACCCAGACACCCCCCACACATCTCACACACACCCGACACACACACACCCCAGACACACACACCTTATGCCCCACACACACTTGATACCCACACACCCCACATACACTTGACACACTGGACGCCCACACACCTGACACACCCCAGAAACACCTGATACATACCCTAGAAACACACCTCACACCCGACACACACAGCTGACACACCCCACACACCTGACACACTCCAGAAACATGCACCTGACACACACCCTAGAAACACACACTTCAAACACCAAACACCGGACACACAGACACCTCACACACACAACCCAGAATCACACCTGACTCCATACACCTGACACACCCCAGAAACACACCTGACACCCCCCAGAAACACACACCTGACACCCCAGAAACACACACCTCAAACACCAGACACATCCGCACACCTCACACACACCCCAGACACACACACCTGACACACCCGACACACCCTTCAGAAACACACCTGACCCAGCCCCCAGAAGCACACACCTCAAACACCAGACACACCCAAACACACCTCACACCCCAAATGCACACACTAGACATACACCTGACACACACTCGACACACACAACTGACACATACCCCAGAAACACACCTGACACACACCTTCCAGAAACACACACCTTACTTGATCTTTGCCAAAAGGCTGAGAAGTGATAGAAACAGACACCTCAAACACCAGACACACCCACACACCTCACACACACCCCACACACACTTGACACCCCAGAAACACACACCTCAAACACCAGTCACATCCAAACACCTCACACATGCCCCAGACACACATACATGACACATACACACCTGACACCCCACACACCTGACCTACACCCCAGAAACACACCTGACACACACACCCCAGGAACACACAGCTGAAACAGATATACCTCAGACACACATACCTCACAGACCAAACACACCCCCCACACATCACACACACACACCTGACACATACACACCTGACCCACACCCCACACACCTGACACACATACCTGATCGACGCCCCATATACACACAGAAGCCTCACCCACACACACACCTCACACACCCACGTATACCTGACACCCCAGACACACACACCCTGAAACATACCCGACATACATACACCTCACACACTTTGCACACACCCATACACATACACACACCTGACACACCAGACACAAACCTCACACCCATGACACACCCAACTCCCCCAAACACCTCACATACACTAGAACATACACCTCACACATGTGACACACCTGACACACCCCTACACACACCTCACACACTCTAGACACACTCCAGACACACACCCTTGACACATACACTAACACACCAGACACACCCCAGACACACCCACACATACCCACACAGCTGACACCAGACACGCCAGAAACACATACACCTCACACACACACCCCACACACCTATCAAACACACCAGACATACATCACCCACACACATCTCTCACACACACCCCAGACACACACCAGACACCCCAGAAACACATAGATCTCCCACACACCCACACAGACACCACACACACACTTCACACGTCACATACCCTTCAGACACACCAGACACACGCACCAGACATACATCACCCACCACATACACACCTGAAACACACCCCAGACACACACACCTTACACTTGACATACCCACACACACCTGACACATCTCACATATATCGACACCATACACTTCACACACATCAGACACACCCAAACACACACACTCACACACACCCTACATACCCCTTAGATACACGAGACACACGTACCTCACACACACCAGTCACACATCACATATACACCTGAAACACACCCCAGGCACACACCTTACACCCCAGACACACACATCCCCACACACCGGACACACATCACACACATGCTCCAGAAACACACCTTACACCACACACACCCAAACACATACCTCACACCACACACCCACACACACCTCACAGATACTCGACACATACCACACACACCTCATAAATACCCCTCCTCACACACACCTCACTCACACATACACCTGACACACATACCTCACAAACACACCTGACACATACATCTGACACACATCCCAGACACACAAACCCACACACACCTGACATGCACACCACACATACATCTGACACACACCCCAAACACCAAACACACAACCGCACACACCCTCTAACACCCCAAACACAGCATACACATGCCACATACCTCACATCAGACACACACCCAGCACCACACACCTGACACACCTTACATGTAGCCTAGACACACACCAGAAACACACACATACCAGACACACACACTCCAGACACACCCTCACAGACCTAACATATACCCACACTTGACACGCACCCCAGACACACCTCACACTTCACACACCAAAAACTCTAGACACACATCCAAAACACTTAAAACACACACACAACACCCCTCCACACACACACACACCTCACCCCAGGCACACACACCAGACTCAGGCCGCACACAATTCACACCACACACCTGACACATACATGACACACACCCGACACAACACCAGACACACCTGACACACCCCACATGCACCCTAGACTGGCCCCAGATGCACATCACACACACTCCAGATACCCACACCTCACAAATGCACCACACATCCCTTACCAGACACACATCCTAGACACAGCTGACATGCACACCCTAAACACACCTCACACACATCCCAGACACACATGCCTGACACACCTCACACACCAATACACACCCCTACACACACCCCAAACACATCTCACATACGCATCAGACACACCCCAGACACACACCTCACAAATCCACCAGACACCTAGACCTACACACCTGACACACATCTGTCAGACACACCCCTCACACATCCCAGACACACACACTTCACACACCTCAGGCACACACACCCCAGATACACACACCATACACTTCACACACAGCAGACACACCCAAACATGCCTGACACATGCACCTCACAAACACACACACACGCACCCCAGACACACATGCCTGACACACCCCAGATACACACATCCCTTACACATTGCAGACACACACCCACACACGACACACATGCCACTCACACATCAGACACACCTCACATATGCACACCTGACACACATATCCCTGACCTGCACACCCCCCCACACCCTTCACACATACACCCCAGCTCACACCCTGGTGCCACACACACTCCTGACACCCTAGACACAGACACCCCCACACAAACATCTGACATACACCCCGAGACACATCCACACACTCCCATCACACACGTATCCCAGATGCATACACACCCCTCACACTCCTCACACATGCACCCCAACACATCATCCCACAAAGGGGGCATACAGTCCTCACACATCCGACACACACCTGACTCAGACACACCTGTTGCCCCAGCAGACACCTGACACACACTCAACACACTTCTCACACACCTGTAACATGCATCACATACCTGACACACCTAACACAGCCCTCATGCACAGCTCACCCACATATCTCACACATGTATACTCACCAAACATTTCACACTTCACACACAGGTTACACATACCTCATAACACACACCTGACATCACACCTCACAACTCACACACCTGACAAATGTGACATACACACACCTGACATGCACTCACAAACACATCACACACCCACGCACCTTACACACATCTCACACTCGTGACATATGCATGTGACACACACCCCAGAAGGCCACACGTCTCAGACACACCCTCAGGCACGCGCACACACGCTCTCACCTCACTGCAGCGGCGGGCACCCTGGCCAGCTCAGCCCTGGCTGCTCCTTGGTCTGGCCCCCCAGGGGTCTCCAAGTGGACCTTGGCCGGATGGTCAGACCCCCCGTCCCCTCCGCCTCTGTGCTGGGTCAGGCCCAGCTGGGTGTGGCTTCCACTCGCCCCAAGGACTCCCTGTGGAGCCCACATGGTGCTCAACACACAGCAGGTGCCCACAGGCGTTCGGCTGAGTGTGGCTCCCAGCTGTGGGTGGTCAGCAGTGACAGGAGCGTGCGTTTTCATCGCTCAACCGTAACCCGTTGTTACCCTGTGAGTTCGTGGACATGCCGCATCTCAGCGTGGGCTGACGGTCACTCGTTGTTGGGGCACAGCCCATCACCCCTCACCGCATCCTACAGGGGTGCCGCTGTGGCGCCCAGTGCTGCCCAGCATCTTCTCAGGGTGGGGTCGCCATGGGTAACCCTAATGTGGTGAAACGTCTGTGCAAATGTTTTGAATAGTTTTCAGTTGCGTTGTCTTTCTGTTGTTGAGTTGTAAGAGTTTATATTCTGGGTATAAGCTGTTTTCTTTCTTTCTTTTGTTTTTATTTTGGGATGGGGTCTCGCTCTGTCACCGGGCGGGAGTGTGTGGAGCAGCCTCGGCTCCCTACAGGCTCCGCCTCCCGGGTTCAAGCACTTCTGCCTCAGCCTCCCGAGGGGCGGGATCCCGGGCCCGCGCCGCTGTGCTCGGCTCACTTTTGTGTTTTTAGTAGAGACGGGGTTTCACGACCTGAGCCAGGCTGTCTCGAACTCCTGATCCCAGGGATCCTCTCGCCTCCGCCTGGGATTACAGGCGTGAGCCACCACGCCGGGCCCACAAGCAGGATTTTAAAGGCAAAAAAGGGGACAAAGAGGTGGCCCATACCAAGCTGTGTGCCAGGAGTTCCCACTGTCTACAGGGAGGACGTTTCAGGAGGCCCTGCGCGGCTGGGCTCTGGAGTCTGCGCGGTGGTCCCGTGTGCGGCACCGTCAGGTTGACTTCCGGCTACGTGGTGTCCATCGGTCTCACTCCAAGGCGCCTCTGGCTGATCACGTAAAGGGCCCGCATTCCTCAGATAAAAGCGTCTTTTCTTCCTCAGTCAGGTGTGGTGGGCCCTGCCCGGGGTAGCGGCGTGTTCCTGATCAGGGCCGGGCCCCAGCGTGCCAGGCGGCTGCGGAGCCGGGCACCTGGGCACGTGCGCAGCAACGTGGCGTCCCTCGCCCTGACCTCTGTCCTGACACACCCCAGGCGGCGGCAATAAAGCCCCGGTGGCCTGGGCCTGGGCAGGAGGAGCTGGGCTGGGTGCCAGAGACGGGGACCAGCAAGTGCAGCTCCCTGAGCACTCTACACAGAGATGGGGACCCCAGACACGAGGAGGTAATGCCCACCGGCCCTGAGCCCCAATCCCCACCCCACCCCACCCAAACCTGGAGGCCTGGCCCTTAGCCAGAGGGGGCCCGGCTGTGCTGCTTGGCTCCAGGGGGCCTGGCTTAGGGGAGTGTGTGGGCGGGAGGGAGGAGGAGGGGCTCTGAGGGTCTGGGGTCGGCCGCCAGGCTCCACCTCCTCCGTGGCCCCGAGTGCATGGGAGAGCACCTTGTCCCCTCAGTTCCCCTGACCTGGTGGAGAATCACCCAGGGACCCTGACCCGGGACAAGGAGGCGGGAGGCACCAGGCGAAAACCAGCAGGCAGGGCTGTAACTGCCCAAAAGGAAGGGGGCTGGGGGCAGGAGTCAGGGGTGCCCCGAGGTGGTGTCAGCCTGGGAGCTGGGATTTGGAGCTCAGGGAAGCACCCGGGCTCCAGCTGGACCTTGGAATCAGAGGCTGCCTCCCTTCCGTGGGGGTCCCCCCTCTCCTTTCGTGGGGCTGCCCTCCTCCTCCTCCTGCCAAGGCCCTCCCTGTCCCTCCTCTCCTGGTGTTTGTCCCTTGTAGCGAGGTGGCCTCTAGGTGGCTTGGGGACCCTTTGATGCCAGAGCCATTTGCCTGAAGAGGGGACCCCCAGGGGTTCCCACAGCCGGGCTGCTTGGCAGTCACCACCCACTGCTGTACTGGTGGCTACCGTGTCCCGAACCCTGGGCCCCCAGGCCGTGCGTCATGGGGGGTGGGCTCCAGGGGTGTCCCAGGCAGGTGGCAGTGGGAGTGGGGTCCACTGCTCGGACAAGAGCCCTGCTATGGATGTCCCCTGCCCAGCATCAGAACCAGCAGGGGATCCCGAGGAAAAGCAGGGCCCCCAAACCAGGCCAGGCCAGGCCCTCGACCCCAGGTGGTCTGGGGCACCCCCCTGCCCTTTGGCTTCCCACAGTGGCTGAGTCACCCAGAGAAGGAGCGAAGGTCCCTGTGGGGCTGCACCCCAGGACTGCAGGGCGCCCCACATACAGGCTTTTTTTTTTTTTTTTTGAGACGAAATCTTGCTCTGTCACTCAGGCTGGAGTGCAGTAGCACAATCTCACCTCACCGCAGCCTCAGCCTCCTGGGTTCAAGTGATTCTCCTGCCTCAGCCTCCCAAGCAGCTGGGATTACAGGCAGCTGCCACCACGCCCAGCTAAAATGTTTTTGCAGTTTTAGTAGAAACGAAGTTTCACCATGTTGGCCAGACTGGTTTCGAAATTCCAACCCCAAGTGATCCATGCACCTCAGCCTCCCAAAGTGCTGGGATTATGCGTCGGAACCACTGTGTCCAGCCCCAGACACAGCACACACACACACAACCCTGGCTGCAGCCTCGCTGAGCTCTGTGCAAACCAGACCCCCACCCTACCCCAGGAGCACGGCACCCTGACAGACAGCAGCCTCTCCAGACAGCAGCCTCCCCAGCAGGGCCCTGAAGAGACATCTGCACCACACCACACGGGCACACACACACACACATGCACACACACCCCCAAACTCCACACCACATGGGCACACACATACACACACACGCACACACACACACCCAAACCCTCACACACCGCACCACACGGGCACACACACACACATGCACACACCCACCCCCAAACCCTCACACTCGACACCACACGGGCACACACACACACACACATGCACACACACACCCCCAAACCCTCACACTCCACACCACACGGGCACACACACACACACATGCACACACCCACCCCCAAACCCTCACACTCTACACCACACAGGCACACACACACACGCACACACATGCACACACACACACACACAAACCCTCACACTCCACACCACGGGCACACACACACACATGCACACACCCACCCCCAAACCCTCACACTCCACACCACACGGCCACACACACACACAGATATGCACACACACACCCCCAAACCTTCACACTCCACGGCACACACACATCACACACACACACAAACACAACACACATAACATATACAACACACACACCCACTCCAAACCCTCACACTCCACACCACATGGGCACACACACACACATGCACACACACACCCCCAAACCCTCACACTCCACACCACATGGGCACACACACACACACACACATGCACACACACACAAACCCTCACACTCCACACCACGGGCACACACACACACACGCACACACCCACCCCCAAACCCTCACACTGCACACCACACGGCCACACACACACAGACATGCACACACACACCCCCAAACCCTCACACTCCACACCACAAACATACATTCATCCACCACACACACACACACACAAACACTACACACATAACATATACAACACACCCACCCCAAACCCTCACACTCCACACCACACACAACATACACACATTCATCCACCACACACACATCACACACACACAAACACTACACACATAATATATACAACACACACACCCACCCCAAACCCTCACACTCCACACCACACACAACATATGCATCCCCACACACACAGACATGCACACACACACCCTCAAACCCACACACTCCACACCTCACACGACATACACACATCCACCACACATACCCCACACACACTCCCCAAACACAGCACACACAAAATACACACACATCTACCACGATACTCATGTACGTAACAAACCACCATGCACTCCATACCACACAAGATACACATCCACCACACACACACAAACACAATTCACATAACATACACACAGCACACTCACCCCAGACCCACACTCTCCACACCACACACACCCATGCACACAGTGCGCACACACCCGACCACGCCACCCACAGCAGACATGCAATTCACCATGCAGAAACACATGCACACAGCCCACACCCACAAACACACCTGTGCACCACAATGCACATGCACACCCCCCACCACATACATGAACACACACACGTCATGCGTCCAAACAGACCCGACACCCTGCCTGCCTGCCTGACGGTGCTGCCGGTCACCCAGGAGCCCTGCGGCCGTGGCCCGCAGCTCTGGGATGCAGCAGGTGCCCCACCTATGGCAGCGTGCGTCCTCGGGCTCTGCCGGTGTGGGCTGTGGGCCCCCGCTGCTCCATACTCACGCCTGTGTGCAAGTGTGTTCCTGTTCCTGCGCGTCCGCAGGTGGACATGGCAGAAGCTCTGGAGTTCCCGAGCCGACCACCAGGACCTGCCACAGTGGCATCCACCAGGCTGGGCTGTGGGCTCTGGCCAGGGGCGGGCTGGAGGCAGGTGGGCCTGGGGCTTCTGCCCGCTCTGTGCCTGCGAGGCTCGGCCCATGTGCAAAGTCCAGTAGAACGACGTGCGCTCCCAAGGAGAAACCCAGCCGAGGCCGGGGGCGGGCGGCCTGAGCCCAGCCCCGCCACTGCCCAGTGCGGGTGCCGTCGGGAGTTCGGGGGAGGCGGGCGGTGGGCAGAGTTGGCCCCTCCTCTGTCTCACTTCCCTCTCTGGCCCTATCAGGCTCCTCGTGGTCACCAGCCTGGTGGCTGTGCTGCTGTGGGAGGCAGGCGCGGGCCCAGCACCCAAGGTATGTGTGAGCCCCTCCCATCCGGCCACCAACTCCAGCCATCACCTTTTGCCTCCACAGCGGGGATGTGGACAAAGGTCCCTCTTCCGCCTTCAAACCCCAAGCTGGCCTAGGAGAGAGGCAGGGTATGGCCATGGCTCCAGATGCCTGTGCACCTTAGGATGAGGGCGGGGCAGGCTCCACTTCACCGGGGTCAGGTGGTCAGGCCTCAAGACACCAGGTCTCAGGTGGAGGGGGTGGGCCAGGATGACACCCAGGTGATCCCAGGTGGAGGGGGTGGGCCGGGGTGACACCCACATGACTCCAGGTATAGGGGGTGGGTCTGGATGACACCCAGGTGATCCCAGGTGGAGGGGGTGGCCCAGGGTGACACTCACGTGACCCCAGGTGGAGGGGGTGGGCCGGGGTGACACCCACATGGCCCCAGGTGGAGGGGGTGGGCTGGGGTGATACCCAGGCGACCCCAGGTGTAGGGGGTGGGCCGGGGTGACACCCACGTGACCCCAGGTGGAGGGGGTGGGCCGGGGTGACACCCAGGCGACCCCAGGTGTAGGGGGTGGGCCAGGATGACACCCACATGACCCCAGGTGGAGGGGGCGGGCCGGGGTGACACCCACGTGACCCCAGGTGTAGGGGGCGGGCTGGGATGACACCCACGTGACCCCAGGTGGAGGGGGCGGGCCGGGGTGACACCCACGTGACCCCAGGTAGAGGGGGTGGGCCGGGGTGACACCCAGGCGACCCCAGGTGTAGGGGGCGGGCTGGGATGACACCCATGTGACCCCAGGTGAAGGAGGGCTCCCTTGATACTCACCTAGTCCTTAAAGGCCAGTGGTGACTCCAGGTGCAAGTGGCTCAGCTGCACTGTCTGCTGACAGTGGTGTCCTGGGCTGGTACCATGCCTGGGAACGTGCCCTGTTCCCTGGCCTGGGTCAAGGCCACTCAATCTGCTACACCTGGGATGGATCAGGAGGAAGGAGGCTCACGGCTCCCTTGACGGGAGCCCAGGAAGTTGGGCACAGCCCCCCATGGCGCTGGTCCTCCCCTGGAGTCACCTGCTTTGCTCTCCTGTTTGTCCTTTGCCCCACTGAAGGTGGCTGGGCTCAGAGCAGCTGACCAGTAAGATTAGCTGGGCTCAGAGCACCTGACCACTAAGGGCTGGTCTCTGAGTAGCTGACCGCCTTCCCTAGGCACCTGCCAGGGTAGGGGTGGTGCAGACGGCCCCAACCAGTCACTGCAAAAACCAGCCAGTGCCTTGATGGCCAGGGTGGGGAGTGCTATATAGGGTCCAGCCCTACAGGGACGTGGGGTGTCCCCTATCGCTGTGCTGAGGTGCTGGATCCGAGAAATAAAGAGACAGGACACAGAAGGACAGAGCACAGCTGGGCCGGGGGCGGTAGAGGGGGCGCACCACCTGTAAGAAGAGACAGGTAGGCCGGGCGCGGTGGCTCACGCCTGTAATCCCAGCACTTTGGGAGGCCGAGGCGGGTGGATCACGAGGTCGAGAGATCGAGACCATCCTGGTCAACATGGTGAAACCCCGTCTCTACTAAAAATACAAAAAATTAGCTGGGCATGGTGGTGGCGTGTGCCTGTAATCCCAGCTACTCAGGAGGCTGAGGCAGGAGAATTGCCTGAGCCCAGGAGGTGGAGGTTGCGGTGAGCCGGGATCGCGCCATTGCACTCCAGCCTGGGTAACAAGAGCGAAACTCCGTCTCAAAAAAAAAAAAAAAAAAAAAAAAAGAAGAGACAGGTGAGGCCCCGAACATCCAGGAGCGTCTCTATTTATTGGGTATAGGTTAGGGGGCAGGATAGTGAGTGAGGTCATCCTGAGGATAGTGATAGGGTCAATATAATCACATGAGCAATAAACAAGAGGTCCACCCCCATCAGGTCGCCTAGGCAAGGAGGTGGGCCGTGTGCATGAAGAGGGTGCAGTGTGCAGTATCTCTTATCTAGGGGCAGGCAGCATCTAAGGAATTCTATAGGCGGATGCTTTGAGTCAGCACAGCAGCTGAAGAGCTGACGGGTCTACAGCCACCTGCCGGCAGCTTCCAGTGATTTCTACAGGAGGAGGATCTGAGTCAGCACATAGCAGGGGGCTGACAGGGTGTACAGCCACCTAGGTGCGATTACACCAGAGGGGTTTTAAGCCCTCGGACGCTCACGGGCTTGCCAACCTGAGGCCAGCTTTCCACAAGAACTAGATGCAGGGAACTGCAACTCCTTTTCAGGAGGAGTGACTCGCTCCAAGCCTGTCATACGGCGGGTATCTTTGCAATACTGAACGCTGCCGCCTGGGCCGGCCTGCCATGTAGCGCATGCCCTTTCAGGCAGGGGCACTACCGCCTGGGCCATTGATTCTTGTCCTCGTATAACTGTTTTTCCCTTAATTCATGCTCTGCACCGTGTCTGCTCTAGACATTCCTCCAACTATAAGCAAGATGTGATTATATATATATAGCTGCTTATTCCTTAATTCATGCTCTATACCATGTCTGCTCTAGACATTCCTCCCACTATGAGCTAAGACATAATTTTATATACAAACATGTGGAAATAACTGAGTAGTAAGATGTTCTTCAGGCGCGAATTGTTCCGACTATAAACTAATACACAGTTATATATAAAGGATTAATGACTGAGGGGTAATAGTATAAACTAGGGTATTCTTCAGGCGCTAATTGTGCAGGGGATCTGCTTAGCTCTCCTTCCTTGCTGCCCAGATGGGGGTTACCCACAGTGCTAGGTGGGGATATGGTGCCCAGTTACGTCCCAGTCCCTTCCTGCCCCAGGCCCAGCCAGAAGTGCAGGCCAGCTGGTCCTCTGGGCACAGGCCGGAGGCCTCACTCCCGGCTTGCAATCCCGACACCTGAGAGTGGCTCAGCCCCTAGAGATGCTCCTGGGCTGTGCTGAACTGCCCAGCCCCCACCCCTGCAGCCTCTCCCTCCCTTGGGGTCCCTGTGGACTGTGGCTGAGCCCACTCCTCTGACTGTCTCCCCAGGTCCCTGACAAGGCCCAAGTTAAACACTGGCCCTCGGAGCAGGACACAGAGAAGTAAGTCCCCCCAACCTCGCTCCCCTGCCACCCGCCATTTCTTGAAGCTGCAGCCTGTTCTGCTGGGCCCTTCTGGAACCTGAAGTGGACAGGACAGATGCAGAGGGGAGCCCCATCCAGAAACTTTCGGGAGGAGGTGGCACTCCCGTCCCACAGGGATCTGTCAGCAGAGCCTGGTGCGGGAAGAAGAGAGCTCAGCTGGGGTCCTGGGGGTCCCGGGCATCTCTCGTGGGAGAAGCGAGCTCAGCTGGGGGTCCTGGGGGTCCCGGGCGTCTCCCGTGGGAGAAGAGAGCTCACCTGGGGGTCCTGGGGGTCCCGGGCGTCTCTCGTGGGAGAAGCGAGCTCAGCTGGGGGTCCTGGGGGTCCCAGGCATCTCTCGTGGGAGAAGCGAGCTCAGCTGGGGGCCCTGGGGTCCCGGGCGTCTCCCGTGGGAGAAGAGAGCTCAGCTGGGGGTCCTGGGGGTCCCGGGCATCTCTCGTGGGAGAAGAGAGCTCAGCTGGGGTCCTGGGGGTCCCGGGCGTCTCTCGTGGGAGAAGAGAGCTCAGCTGGGGGTCCTGGTCCTGGGGGTCCCGGGCATCTCTTGTGGGAGAAGAGAGCTCAGCTGGGGTCCTGGGGGTCCCGGGCGTCTCTCGTGGGAGAAGAGAGCTCAGCTGGGGTCCTGGGGGTCCCGGGCGTCTCTCGTGGGAGAAGAGAGCTCAGCTGGGGTCCTGGGGGTCCCGGGCATCTCTCGTGGGAGAAGAGAGCTCAGCTGGGGGGCCTGGGGCTGCAGGGCATCTCCCCCGACTCAGCGTCCCCACAGCCCCCAGGACAGCCCGTGCTCCAGGGCCGGTGGCTGCAGCCAGGGCGGCTCAGCCTTGGATCCCGAGGGTTTCCCACATTCTCGACCTTGGGATGCTGCTCAGCCAAGGCTCTGACCACTGCCCCCAACCCAGTGGCCCAGGGACGTGGTATGGAAGCCTGGCCAGGGGCACTGTGGGGATCACCATTGCTGCGGCTCCTGAGGGGCTTGTCCTGGCTGCTGGTGGTGGGTGCTGGAGCGGCTGCCTTGGGATGGTGGGGACCATCCTAGGAGGGGCTCTGTTTGCCTCCCCCACCTGCATGTGGACCTGACCCAACTGTGCCCATAGGGCCCAGGGTGTCCGTGAGGTGGAGCTTCCGGAGAAGGACGACCAGCTGGTGGGGCTGCTCCCCGTCCAGAAGCCAAAGCTCTTGACCGCTGAGGAGAAGCCACCAGGTCAGAGCAGGGCCCCACATCCTTCCAGGCAGGCGGGAGGCCAGAGCAGCAAAGTCTGCTTGTGGGGTCGACTCAGACAGACCAAGGGGCTCGGGAGGGAAACTGAGGCAGTGCCTTCATCTGCTTGTCCCTAGGCACCAAGGCCTGGGTGGAGACTCAGGACATCCCGGGCGGTGTCCTGAGCCCCCAGCAGGGTCCCGAGCCTGACTATGATGGCCTGTACCACCCTCCACCTGAGGAGGACCAGGGTGAGGAGGAGCCCCAGTTGTGGGTGATGCCAAATCGCCAGGTGCTCCAGGGACCAGAGAAGGACCAAGACCACATCTACCACCCCGAGTAGGGCTCCAGGGGCCATCACTGCCCATCCCTGTCCAGAGGCCCAGGCTGTTGGGACTGGGACCCTCCCTCCCCTCCCAGCTAGACAAATAAACCCCTGCAGCCTGGGTGCGGTGGCTCATGCCTGTAGTCCTAGCAGTTTGGGAGACTGAGGTGGGAGGATCACTGAGGTTGGGAGTTTGAGACCAGCCTGGGCAACATGGTGAAACCCCATCTCTACTAAAAATACAAAAATTAGCCAGGCGTGGTGGCAGGCACCTGCAATCCCAGCTACTCGGGAGGCTGAGGCAGAAGAATCACTTGAACCCAGGAGGCAGAGGTTGCACTGAGCTGAGATCGTGCCACTGCGCTCCATCCTAGGTGACAGAGCAAGACTCCTAAAAAAATATAAATGAATAAATAAACCAATCCCTGCAAACAGGCGGGAGGCCACCTCCCTGGAAGGCCAGTGACCGGGCCGCCTGCTCTGCTGAGGAGCTCCCAAGGGCTACACGAGGCCCAACCGACCCTTGGCTCCGAGAACGTTGTGCTCCCCGAAGGCCCTCGTCCTTGTGTACCAGGACGGTGAGGGGTGTGGCAGCAGTTAGGGGTTGGGACCAGAGGGCACCCCTAGGACCAGTCTCAGCTGAGAAACAGAACCCACGCTGGGCTCGCTACCCCAGGGGCCCAAGACAGGCCGGGGAGCAGGGAGGCTGAGTGCACGGACTCGGGGCCGTTCAGCAGGTGCTCCGGTCTCAGGTGGGCGGGGGAGGCCCAGGCCCAGGCCCTGTCCTTTGTGCCCTCTCGGTGTGCTGTGCTGCTCCCGCTCTGGGCGCCCGTCCCGCCCGCCTGGCCTAGCAGGCCCGGTGCCACAGCGCAGGTCCAGGCTGCTGGCGTCACTCACACCCCGACCTGGTGCGAAGCCCAGGCTGAGCCACACACAGGTCTTAGCCAGCAGCTAAGACAGAATGGAGCAACGGAGAGAGGCCGCCCGTCTCTCCATCCTGCTGTCTCAGCCCTCCTGCGGCCACTCGGGGCCGTGGGCGTGCCTGGGCGGAAGACCTTCCTGCACCCTGGGCCAGGCCGGCACTCTCCCAGGACACCAGCAGCTGAGGGTGCCCCGCGGCGTCCCAGCGTGCAAGAGCTGCTACCCCGCTTCCGGAGGACCTGGGGAGGCCAGGCCCTTCGAGGGTCTGTCCCGACAGGGCCAGGGCTGCAGCCTCCCATGTCACCCAGCGGGGCGGGAGGGCATCAGGACCGACATGCCCAGGGCTGCGATTTGAGCGGCTCCTTCCCCACTCCCTGGGCCCCAGGCAGGCAGAAGACCTAGATGTCCGGGGCTGCAGGAGGCTCTGGCCCTAGGCAGCCCATGCTGGTGTTTGGCTTTTTTTTTTTTTTTTTTTTTAAGCTATCTTGATTTTATTTTGTTTTGCCCATTAGTTTTTTTTTTCTCTCATAACTTTATTTTGTTTGCTCATATATGGTTTCATGTATATAAATCCTAGAGTGTGCACACTAGCCCCAGAGACCTGTCCGTGGGCTGAGGGCACATGCAATCAGCTCACAGCTTCTGACGTCAAACCACAATGCCGCCACGGGGTCTGGAGGCCAGCAGGAGCTCCACAGGGCAGGGCTGACCACTAGTGGCTGCAGAGAAGGCCTGGGCTGCCATCTGGGAGCGGCAGCCGGACAGGACCCGACTCGGCAGTCACGCCGGCAGCCCCAGACACGGTCCCTTCCCCAGACCTGGCGCCAGCTCTTTGCCAGGGTGGGCTTACCTGCACGCCCCCCGGGTTCTCAAGCCCAGACACAGTTCTTTCCTCAGACTTGGCACCAGATTTCAGCTGCGGTGGCCTTGTCTGCACCCGCAAGGTTCTCCTGTGGCCTGGAGTGTGGGTCTGGGACCCTGGGACTCGCCCCCTAGAGCCCTGGGGACACCAGCCCCAGGCCCTGGGGTGCCCCCTGTCATTCCCACTCCTGCCCTTGGTCCCTCAAACTCCAGCCCCTGCCCCGTCTTCATTCCATGCCTGTGATGCTGACACAAGTTCTGGGGAGCAGGGGGAGGGTCCTGGGAGAGGCCCCGGGTCTGGGCAGTGGCTGGTGGTTATTCTTCCCCATCCTGGAGACCAGTCCAAGCATCCCATGATGAAGCCTCCTAGGCACCCCCTTTCAGGATCCCCCTGCATCCCACCTCTGCCCGGCAATGGACTCCAAACGACCTCAAGTCCTTTACCTCCCCTGCCTGACCAGACAAGTTAGGGTCGCGGGGAGGAGCCTCACTTCACCACCTACTGCCACAGGCATGGGGCACAGCCCACACCTGGGCCTCTCCAGCAGGCACCTCCCTCACCAGTGACCCTCCCAGCTCCCACAGTTCCTCCTGAAGCATCCAGGCCAGCCCTGCCACCTGCCCTCCTGCTGGGCGGAAGGAACGGACCCCATGAAGAGCCCCGTTAGTGTCCAAAAGCCTGGGGGCTGAGGCCAAAGTCGCCACCCCACTCCAGGCCTCCATGTCAGCCACTGCCCCTACTCCAGCCCTTGGTGTCCCCAGGGCCCCAGGCACCCTGCCCAGCCCCAAGGCCCCAGGCCTGATTTCCCTCTTGAGGTTTCATCAAGCATACATGGGGGGGCCCCCACTGGAACCAGCAGCCTCCCTTGAGCTCAGCACACAATAAGTCTGAGTGAGAACAGAGCTGAAATTGAAACCTTTAATCTGAACATCGACTGTGACTACATTTTTCCATCATTTTTATGAATTGGGGGACCCTCATCCTAATTGGCAAGGCACACCCCAAGACTGCTGGCCCCTAGAGCCCCGGCCTGGGCCCAGGTCTGGGAGCTGCCGCTGGCAGGCCTGCTGTGAGTGGTGGTCCTGGAGCTCAGGTGCCCCTGGTTCCTCTTCTGGCCCAGTGGTCTTCACCAGGCTTCGAGCAGGGGGCTGAGGGCAAGCACCCCCTTCTTGAGGATGAGGTTTCCATAGAGGGCGGTCTCCCTGCAGAGGAGCCACGGCGCCAAGACCCTGCTCCAGCCGCTGGGGCCAGAGCAGACCCCATCTACCTTCACCCACCTGATGCTCAGGCAAATGGGGGCCCTGCCCACCCAACTTCCTCCCTGGTCTCTCCACTCTTTGGGACATCTAGCTTCAGCCAGGCAGAAACTGAGAAGAGGGTGGCGGCAGCTCCTGAGGGCCCTGGTGGGGACGGGGGCAGGTCTGGGCCAGCCGGAACTCACCCAGTTGCCACAACAGCAAAAGCCTTTTTAGCCCGCTCATAAAACGCAAACCTCTCGACCTTTGCCAGGGCGCTCTGGAAGACAAAATGGCAGGGTTGGAGGGAGCCTTGCCCAGAAACCCTCATGAGCCAGACCTGGACTCCCCAGGGCCCCAAGCTGGGTGGGCACCAGGAGGTGGGGCCCCTGAGCTCCATTTCCCCAGCCCTCCTGCTGCGGAGGCCCCAGGGACACTCAACCTCTGGCTCCCAAGGCCTAGGATGGGGGCCCCAGGACATGGTGGATGAGGAACGAGGAACCTGCCATGCTTGGTGTCTGCCCGGCCTGGGGCCAACCAGCCAGCTCAGCAGACTGTGGAGCCCCTGCCAGCTGTCCGGGGGTGTCCCCTGCCCAGGACAAGAGCCCCTGGCCTCCTCTTATGGAGGCCCTGCCTGAGGCCTGCCAGTGGGTTGCCCAGGACAATGGGCCTGTCCCCTTGCAGGGCAGGGTGGGAGGGGGCTGTGTGACACAGCACCCAGCTAGGCCTCTGACCATAGTCAGGATGGGGTGGGAGACCTGGGATGGGGGCACCCCCCAGGGGAGATAGAGGAGGGGGAGGCCAGGCATTCTGAGTCCTTGGGCTCCACTCACAGGCTGTGGTGGGTGAGGCCCCCTCAGCAGGTCAGGAACCTGGTGAGGGCAGAGGAGGAGGGGCCAGGTACACCTCTTCCACCCTGGCTGGTGAGGGAGTGCCCAGTAGTCCGGGGTTCTTAGGGTGATGGGTGGGAGACTGCTTGAGGACAGTGTGGGACTCTGCTTTTGGCCTTCCTGAACCTCCAGGAGACAGAGGGTCCCCGGCCCGTTCCCCACAGCTGGGGCCGCAGGCTCACCGAGCAGCCGGCCCTGAGTAGGATGGACTCGTATTCTGTCCACACCGGAGTCTGCAGGCCCCTCTCCTTGTCGCTGGGCACCAGCTCCATGACTGCAGCCTAGAAGGAGGAGTCAGCTCTGGGGCCTTGGGGGTTGCCAGCCTTCCTGGTCAGGTGACCAGTTGGGACTCCCCGGGTGAGGGTCAGGACCCTTTTGGGGACACATGGCTTCCCACTCCTGCAAGGTGGGTGGACCCTATGAAGCCTGACAAAGGGGAAACCGAGGCGCAGAGCAGCAGGGTGCAGGGGTGACTCAGCCCTCACCGGACTCTCCACATAGGTGTCCAGGGGCAGTAGCTTCAGCACAGCCTCCAGAAGCTGCGGGATGCCCAGGCCTGGAGGGCAGAGGGTGTGGCACTCAGTCTCCAGCCTGCTCGCCCGCCTGTGGGCACCCTTCACACCTGGGCTTCGCTGGCCAGCCAGCCGGCAAGCATGGACGTGGGGCCAAGACAGGCCACAGGGGAGCTCAGAGCCGGGAGCACGGCCCCCCCGCCCTGCCCTGGGGGGCCCGCGGGGCCTGGAGCACCTGGGGCTCGCTCACCGTCTGCACGGATCTCCATGGGCCCGCACTGGCAGATGGAGGAGGCCGGGAAGTTCAAGTCCGCGAGAACTAAACAGCCGGGGGGACAGCGGCGGTCAGCACCTATCCCCGCGCCGGGGTCCGCGCCACCCATCCTCCCACCCAGTCATGGCGGCAGACGGTGGGTCACGAGGGGACCGGCCGCCGTCAGAGTCCTCAGGGCTGGAGGCCAGGCGGGGAGGCGGGGAGGGCAAGGTCCGCGTCGGGGCGGAGGAAAGGCGCCAACGGCTGCCCGCGGGGCTGTCGGGTCAGCGGCGGCCGCCCCAGGGGCCGGAGGACGCGCGGCTGCCCGCCATGCCCGGACCGGGCCCCGGCCACGCAGCCCCTGCCCGGGACCCCAGGCCCCCGGCGGAGAAAACGCCCGGACCCTCGGGGGAGCCCAGGCGCCGCGGCTCCCGGGCCGTCCGGGGACGGACTGGGGGGAAGCTCGGGCCGCCGCGCCGCGAGCCCCACGAGGCCGCAGTGGCCGGAGAATGCGGGGCAGGGGGCGTCCTGCCCGGAAGCGGGGGGCGGGAGGTCCGAGCAACGCCCGACCCCGGGACCCCGCCCTTCCCGGGCGCCCGGCGCGGCCGCAGTAGTCCGCACGAGGGTGGCCAGGACCCCGGCCCGGGGGTCCCCGCGCGAGCCTCGCCTGCCTGCCTGCCCGGGGTGGTCCCCGAGGCCCCAGCCCGCTGCGCTCACCGATCTCGTCCCCGTGCCCCATCCGCGCCAGCGCATAGAGCAGCTCGGGGGACAGCAGCGCGGGGACTCCCTTCAGCGCCACCATGGCCTGGACGACGGGGAGGGCGGGGCCTAGGAGCCGGGGAGGGGCCTTACGGGGAGGGCGGGGCCTAGGGGCCAGGGAGGGGCTTTACGGGGAGGGCGGGGCCTAGGGGCCGGGGAGGGGCTCTGTAGGGAGGGCGGGGCCTAGGGGCCGGGGAGGGGCTCTGCGGGGAGGGCGGGGCCTAGGGGCCAGGGAGGGGCTTTACGGGGAGGGCGGGGCCTAGGAGCCGGGGAGGGGCTCTGTGGGGAGGGCGGGGCCTAGGGGCCGGGGAGGGTGGGGCCTAGGGAACGGGGAGGGGCTTTGCGGGGAGGGCGGGGCCTAGGGGCCGGGGAGGGGCTTTGCGGGGAGGGCGGGGCCTAGGGGCCGAGAGGGGGCTTTACGGGGAGGGCGGGGCCTAGGGGCCGGGGAGGGGCTTTACGGGGAGGGCGGGGCCTAGGGGCCGAGAGGGGCTTTATGGGGAGGGCGGGGCCTAGGGGTCTAGGGGAGCTTTACGGGGAGGTCGGGCTTTGGGGTCATAGGCTTGGGGACCCGGAACCGGGCCTAGGGGTCGGCGGGCTGAGGTCCGCTTGCAGGTGGCAGAAGGGCGGAGAGAGAGACCCGAGAACCTGGGGATGCGCGGGCTGAGTCGGGCCGTGGGGGCAACACCCACCCAGCTCACGAGCGCCTCACCAGGTCCCAGCCTCTGGCGCCCGCGCGTTGTGGCCGGGGGCTCCTCAGTGTCCCTGCCCAAGCCTTCTACCTTGAGCTCCCTCAGGCCAAAGGGGTTCAGCCGCTGCCCCCTGCAGCCTCCTCTCATGAGGGTCTCTGCCTTCTGACCACGTCGTCCTGCCCTTAGGCCTGGCAGAATGCCCGGAGCCCACTGGGTCCCTAATGTTACAAGGGTGGGCAGCTGGACCTGGGCTTTCAGCCCACACTCCTGAGGGGCCGCGAGTATGGGACGCGGGAGCGTGGGACATTGGACCTCCTTGGAGGAGCTCCAGGAGGGCAGCCAGGCCCAACTTCCAGGCTCAGCCTCGAGAGCCAAGACACCTAAGAGTCCTCCATCATCCCCCAGTGTCAGCAGCCTGCAGCCCTCTGCCCAGGACGGCAGCGTCCTGACCTTTGGCCAGGCTCAGGCTGGCCAGGCCCTCCCTTCATAAAGCCACCTTCTTCCACCTGATTCCCAGCTGGACACCAGCTGTGGGCCAGCACTGTGGCCCTGGCCCTCAACCCTGGGGTGACACAATGCTCTGAGGCCTGGCAGTTCCTAAAAAGTTCTTAAAATAAGTTTGTGAAAAATGACAAAGCCGTGTCAGAAAACCCAGAGGAAACATGTCTCCATGTTAAACTGCTTGCCTCTAGGAGCCTGTCCCCATGGAAGTGACTTGGGCTGCGTCGGAAAAGCCTAGTGGGGCCACCCAGGCTGGCATCCAGCAGCACCTGAACAGCTGGCCCTGGGCTGGCCACTTGGGCAGAGAGAAGGTCAGGGCTGCCCAGAGCCTGCTGATGAGAGGTGGCTCTGCACCCAGGCCACTGGGGTCCCTGTGAAGAGACAGGAAAGAGAAGCGTGGAGGTCCCCGGAGGTCCCCACGCAGGGACAGGAAGAAGCGTGGGGGTCCCCGCGCAGGGACAGGAAGGAGGAGAGGCGTGGGGGTCCCCGCGCAGGGACAGGAAGGAGGAGAGGCGTGGGGGTCCCCGCGCAGGGACAGGAAGGAGGAGAAGCGTGGGGGTCCCCGTGCAGGGACAGGAAGGAGAAGCGTGGGGGTCCCCGTGCAGGGACAGGAAGGAGGAGAAGCGTGGGGGTCCCCGCGCAGGGACAGGAAGGAGGAGAGGCGTGGGGGTCCCCGCGCAGGGACAGGAAGGAGGAGAAGCGTGGGGGTCCCCGCGCAGGGACAGGAAGGAGAAGCGTGGGGGTCCCCCGTGCAGGGACAGGAAGGAGGAGAAGCGTGGGGGTCCCCGCGCAGGGACAGGAAGGAGGAGAAGCGTGGGGGTCCCCGCGCAGGGACAGGAAGGAGAAGCGTGGGGGTCCCCGTGCAGGGACAGGAAGGAGGAGAAGCGTGGGGGTCCCCGTGCAGGGACAGGAAGGAGGAGAAGCGTGGGGGTCCCCACGCAGGGACAGGAAGGAGAAGCGTGGGGGTCCCCGTGCAGGGACAGGAAGGAGGAGAAGCGTGGGGGTCCCCGCGCAGGGACAGGAAGGAGGAGAAGCGTGGGGGTCCCCGTGCAGGGAAAGGAAGGAGAAGCGTGGGGGTCCCCGTGCAGGGACAGGAAGGAGGAGAAGCGTGGGGGTCCCCGCGCAGGGACAGGAAGGAGGAGAAGCGTGGGGGTCCCCGTGCAGGGAAAGGAAGGAGAAGCGTGGGGGTCCCCGTGCAGGGACAGGAAGGAGGAGAAGCGTGGGGGTCCCCATGCAGGGACAGGAAGGAGGAGAAGTATGGGGGTCCCCGTGCAGGGACAGGAAGGAGAAGCGTGGGGGTCCCCGCGCAGGGACAGGAAGGAGGAGAGGCGTGGGGGTCCCCGTGCAGGGACAGGAAGGAGGAGAGGCGTGGGGGTCCCCGTGCAGGGACAGGAAGGAGGAGAGGCGTGGGGGTCCCCGTGCAGGGACAGGAAGGAGGAGAGGCGTGGGGGTCCCTGTGCAGGGACAGGATGGAGGAGAAGCATGAAAGCGTGCCAGGAGCTGGAGAGAAGCAGAAAAGGGGTTTGGGAAAATGGAAAAGTTCTTGGACAGAGGATAATGGCTGCACAATGAGAATGTACTTAATGCTGCTGAAATGTGCACTTAAAATGGTTAAGACAGGGCCGGGCGCGGTGGCTCACGCCTATAATCCCAGCACTTTGGGAGGCCGAGGCGGGTGGATCACGAGGTCAAGAGATCGAGACCATCTTGGTCAGCAAGGTGAAACCCCATCTTTACTAAAAATACAAAAAGTAGCTGGGCGTGGTGGCGCGTGCCTGTAATCCCAGCTACTCGGGAGGCTGAGGCAGGAGAATTGCTTGAACCCAGGAGGCGGAGGTTGCGGTGAGCCGAGATCGCGCCATTGCACTCCAGCCTGGGTAACAACAGTGAAACTCCGTCTCAAAAAAAAAAAAAAAAAAAAAATGGTTAAGACAGCCTTGGCAACACAGGGAGACCCCATCTAAAAAAGTTAGCTGGGTGTGGTAGTGTATGCTTGTGGTCCCAGCTGCTGGGGAGGGGGAGGATCACTTGAGACCAGGAGCCCGAGGTTGCAGTAAGCTGTGATCAAGCCACTGTGCTCCAGCCCCGTCTCTAAAAGACAATGGTTTAAGATGGTCAAGTTTTGTAGCATGTGCTATCACAATAGAGAACAATGCACTGAAACTGAACAGAGAGCTCCTTACGACAGAAAAACAAAACTGGGTTTCCTTCGTGAGGAAAAGGGCTCTGTGGAAGAGGGCATGGAGTTACTTCTGTAACCAGAAAGCCACCGCACGTGCCTGTGCACGTGTACAGGAGCATGCGTGCGCGCACAGAAGTCTCCAGGAAGCCACACGCCCAGTTGTTCATGCTGGCTGCCCTAGAAGTGTGATGTGGGGTGACTGACTGTGCAAACTTCTGCTTTGTTTGAAAGTTGCTGCTCACAAAACAAGTCTAAAAGAACGTGACAGAATATTCCACTTCTAGACATGACTACATGGTGTGGTGTAACTGAATCACTATCATCTTAACTGTGCAGAGCGTCTGTGTGAAGGCAGCAGACTGTTTCCCTGGGAGCAAACCCGGTCTTTAACACAGGGACACAAGCGCCCGCAGGGCTGCTTTCCAACTCAGCACAGCATACGAGGGGCTGGCGGGGGCTCCTCAGCAGAATCTTAGATTTAGAAGAAGATGCTCCAGTCAGATTCGAACATGGACACTCACAGGCTGGGTGAAGACCTTCGTGCTGTGAGGGCCGGGCCGTGACCACACAGCAGTCGGAGAGAAACTGCACACCAGGGACACTGCCCTTGAAAAGAGGGTGATTTACTTGCTTCTAAAACTGACAGGCTACACTCTTCCTCTGCAGGTGGAGGTGTGGGGCAGGGGCAGCTGCTTCTCACTGGTCTCTGAAGTTGGCCTTTCTCTTTTCCACAAACGCGGCCATCCCTTCTCTCCGGTCATCCTGGTAGGAAAAAGGAGAGAAACAAGTGGATGCCCAGTTTCCTCACAGAGCCCGATGCCAGTGCTGCCCGGGTCTCCCTGGCCCTGCCTCACTCCTCATGCTCACAGGGGCCCAGGGGGCTGCAGAGGGGACTCTGTGGCAGGAATACCTGCCCAATCAGGGCTGGGCCAGGGCACGGGGACTTCTACTGCCTCTCTACCAGGCTGGGTGATGGTCATTCAGGAACCACCGTGTATGTCAAATCAGCTCACATCTAAAGAGCCTCAGATGTGTGACTGGCCATTCACCAAGTCATCAAATGGACGACGGGTGACCTGTGTCACGGAGCAGGACATGAGAATCAACTCTGCGTCTGTCTTTTCCCATGCTGCGTACATGTGTGTAGATGTCCCCAGGTGCGCGCGCGCGCACACACACACACACACACACACACACACACACATCTGCACCCCTTCCTCAAGTGCCCACGCTACTTTTAATTTTTATTTTACAGAACAATTAAAACACCTAAGTATGACTTTCTTCCAGTGAAAAAGATGAAGTAAAACGGTAATCTTGCTGAGCACAGTGGCTCATGCCTATAATCCCAGCACTTTGGGAGGCCGATGCAGGCAGATCACTTGAGGTCAGGAGTTTGAAACCAGCCTGGCCAACATGGTGAAACCCCATCTCTACGGGCCAGGTGGCGGGCATCTGTAGTCCCAGCTACTCAGGAGGCTGAAGCAGGAGAGTCACTTGAACCCAGGAAGTGGAGGTTGCAGTAAGCTGAGATCACACCACTGCACTCCAGCCTGGGCAACTGAGCAAAATAAAAAATCATAATGGTAATTAGAGGGAATTAGAGGAATTACTGGCAGAAATCTTATAAAATATTGCTCTAAAGCTTCAGCTTATCTTATTAGAATAAATTTGAACCCATTTCAAATAATTGGGATGATATAAAAAAATTACGGGTAAAATGAATTGCATTTTTTACAAAAGTCATTTTTTTGAGACCGGGTATTGCTCTGTTACCCAGTTGGACCCGAATGACCCGCCTCAGCCTCCCAGGAAGCTGGGGCTACGGCTGCACGTTACCCGCCCTGCTGAAGCTGCTGCCGGAGGGTGCCACTCACAGACCTTCACAGCAGGAAAAAACCCCTACCGTTTCCACACTTTCGAACTTCCACATACTCGACTTTTTTGTTAACATTAAGACCCGCTTGGGCCGGGCGCGGTGGCTCAAGCCTGTAATCCCAGCACTTTGGGAGGCTGAGGCGGGTGGATCACGAGGTCGAGAGATCGAGACCATCCTGGTCAACATGGTGAAACCCCATCTCTACTAAAAATACAAAACATTAGCTGGACATGGTGGCACGTGCCTATAATCCCAGCTACTCAGGAGGCTGAGGCAGGAGAATTGCCTGAACCCAGGAGGCGGAGGTTGCGGTGAGCCGAGATCGCGCCATTGCACTCCAGCCTGGGTAACAAGAGCAAAACTCCGTCTCAAAAAAAAAAAAAAAAAAAAAAAAAAGACCCGCTGATAGAACGTATCTGGTCCCACGAAAGGTAAGGCTGACAGTTCTGACAGAAAGAAACGATACTTAATGATAAAATGTAAAAGGAAATTCCTAGCAACTCGTGTGACTAGAATATGCTTGATTTTCCGGTTGAACACTGTTTACTCACAGTTGCAAAGGTCGAATAAAAGAGTTTCTTCTCCAACTTATTTCCTTCTCTTAATGTCATTTCAAAAGCTGGAAAATAAAGTCCTGGAGTTATAAACCGAGGTATTAAATGCAGAACTTTTCCTGCATGGTGACGGGAAGCCCTCTGCACCGACCCACATTCGTGCTTTCAATGTGGCCTGGGAAGCCTGGCCCAGCCGAGACCAGGAAGAAGCAACAGCTTCTCCTACGGCCCCCAAACGTCACACCAGGTGGCCCCGGGCCCCAGGAAGGGAGAGGAACCGGATCAAAGATGGGACGACAAACTGTGCCCCTGAGGAGAGGCTCTGAAGCAGCAACAGGACTGCAAGCAGAAAAGGCAGCTGAGGACAAAGTCAGAAAGGACAGCACGGGGGCCCGAGCCGCGCGGAGCTGGCGCCAAGGACGCCTGTGGCTCGGCTCACTCCAGGCCCCTTCTCTGCACAAGGCCTGAGTGCACAAGTGAGGCCAGCGCTGCGGTTCCAGGCCTGGAGCCAGCGTTCTCTCCCAGCGGAGCACGACCTTGCCAAATGCCTTGGGCAACAGCAGCCTCTGTTTTTGAAATGCTCCCCTCACTGTATCCTGCCTCAAGCCAACAGCAAGCCCAGGGATGGCCACTCTCGAGACAAACGTACTCAGGGGGCCTGGGAACCTGCCTAGGGCCACCCACATCTGACCAGACTCAAGCAGCTAACAACTATCTCGTTCCACATGCTGAGAAAAAAAACGGTGACATTAAAACTTGAGCATTTCTGAGGAGGGTGAAGGTCAGATCCACCTCCCTGGCAGAGGGAGAACTAAAGGAATCCAGGCCAAAAATGAACAGCATGGCATTGGGCCGCCTGCGTAGCCACCTGCCAGGTGCAGACAGCCTCCAGCCCCATGTCCCGGCAGGTGAACCGAGCCGCCCTGTGATCAAGACCATTTTACTTTTGGGACCTCTGCTCCCTTCTCAGCCTTTCCCTGCCATGACCTGTGCTGCCCTCGCCTCCCAGGCCTGGCTCCGTTCTTGGGCCCTGGTACAAAGGGGAGCTGGGAACATCTCAGTGGAGTTCCTGAGTGCGTGGCCAGAAACCACAGTTCTACAGACAGCAGAACGGACACTGAGAACCCACCAATTCTACCCAGGAGGGCTTCAGGCACACACATTCGCAGCCAGAAAACCTGCCCCTCAGGAATATTCCTCACAGCCACAGAGACCCCTCTAATTTCTCTTCCTGGCAGGATCCCCTACCTGCATTCACTGATTCTTTGGCTATTGCTACTATAATTTTAGAATTGCTGGCAATTCTTTCTGCACACTGGATGGCTTCTTCCACCAGTGTCTCAACAGGAAAAATCTTGCTTACAAGACCTGAAACACAAGAAAGTCAGTGAGTGATGTGCAGAAACAGTACGTGTCTATTCCTTTGCGAGTGAGTGGGCGCTGGGGAACAGCGTGCTGGAGCACCCCGGACTCTGAGCGCCGGGCGAGGGTTCCACACGGGAACACCCCGACCTCTGAGCGCCGGGCAAGGGCGACTTCCACACGGGAGCACCCCGGCCTCCGAGCGCTGGGCGAGGGTTCCACACGGGAACACCCCGACCTCTGAGCGCCGGGCAAGGGCGACTTCCACACGGGAGCACCCCGGCCTCCGAGCGCTGGGCGAGGGTTCCACACGGGAGCACCCCGGTCTCCGAGCGCTGGGCGAGGGTTCCACACGGGAGCACCCCGGCCTCCGAGCGCTGGGCGAGGGTTCCACACGGGAGCGCCAGGCGAGGGTTCCACACGGGAGCACCCTGGCCTCTGAGAGCTGGGCGAGGGTTCCACACGGGAGCACCCCGGTCTCCGAGCGCTGGGCGAGGGCCGCTTCCACACGGGAAATGCCACACGTGCCCTGAGGGGGCTGAGTCCTCCGGCGCTGCGGTTTCTGTGCTCTGAGACTTGCAGGTCAGGCTGTCCACAGCTCCAGCGGTAGAGGCGGCCAGACACAGGGGCCTTGGTCACCCACAGGGCGACCTGCCTGGTGAGGGCCCGGAGATGCCCTCTGGGGACAGAACTGCCGGGCTGTGATTCCGTACCAGGTGCTTATGTGTGGTTCCACTTCTGTACATACAGTTCTTCAAAATGTAAACACAAAAGGCAGGCAGCCTCCCAGGTCCTCAGGACCCAAAAGCTCATGCGACCGCCCTGGGGACACCTGGATGCAGCCCTGAGTTTCCGTGTGGCTCCCACAGGCAGTGCCAACCCGTACCTGCTTGCTTGGCATCCTGGGCTGAGATCCGATCACCGGTGAGGACCATCTCCATCGCCAGCGACTTCCCGACAGCACGGGTGAGTCTCTGGGTGCCACCTGCACCTGCAGGGAGGGGCTGGTCACGGTTGGTACTGCAGCGACTGAATCCAAGAAGACATCACAGCTGCACAGCTGGCAAGTTCCGAGGGGCTTCAGATGGGCCCTGAGGCAAGGCCCACGGGGCAGAGGCTGGGCAGCACGGGACCCCAGGAACTTCAGGCACAGCCCCTTTTCAAGCTAAGGCCCCACATCTGGGGCTCGCCAAACACCCTGACATTGGAGAAAGGTGTGTGGCTCTGTGGTCAACATCTTGGAAACTTACAGGCCTCGCTGACTCCAGGCACTGGTCCCTTGCATCAGCAGCTACTCAAGGGATCAGACCCTGAAGAAATGGGCCAAGCTCATAGCTCAAGGCCTCAGAATCTGCCTGGTCAAACTCAGAGGACAGGAGAGAGCGCCCTGCGTGCAGCTGTTCCCCTCAGGGTCTGAGCTCCTTCTTGGCCGCTCCGCCTGTGCCCACCCCTCCTACCAGGAGGACCCTGGCCCACTCAGACCTCCAGGCCCACCAGGAGGACCCTGGGGGTAGAGGGTGTTGCTCTTTGCCCAGAGCCCAGGCCCTTCCCCCAGGTATGGTAAGGGGTCTGACTCCCTGCTCTGCTGAACTCAGTGAGGCCACATGACCTCCGTGGCCAATGAGACGGCAGTGGGCAGGACCTGAGGCACAGTGGGCAGAGCTCCCAGTGCCACCCAGGGTCACCATGTTCTCTCTCTGCCACAGACATGGGTCACAAGCAAGAACTGCCATGGTTAGAAGCCAGTGTCACCCAGGACCAGCCTCTCCCAACACCATTGTGTGTGGGATCTGGGCACAGCCACAGGAGCCAGACATGGCCCCGGGCCTCCGAGGCCCCCCTCCGAGCTCTGTCACAACCACTCTAGCCTCTGTGGCTGTCTGCAGAGGGACCACCGACCAGACACGGGGGTCTCCATCCAGGGCCTCTGGTCAGATATGAGCTGTGGGCCCTGAGACATAGGCAGGCATTACCGAAAGCATCCATGCCAGAGACAGTGTCACGCCTTACCTGGGATGGTCCCTAGTAAGATCTCCGGCTGTCCAAACTGGGCCTTCTCGCCGGCATAGATGATGTCACACATCATGGCAAGCTCACAGCCCCCGCCAAGCTGCAAAACAACTGGCATCAGGAGAGTCTTGCGAGGGGAACCTGGTCAGAAAATCACTCACTTCTCATCCGGATTTTCCATTTAAAAGAAACGGCGTCAGGGGTTGACAAAGAATAACATAGTGGAACCAAACTAGTTAACTGTTATGATAGGTTAACTACAGATGGTTGATGCTGTTTACCAGAAACTGCAAACATTCTAAAGGGACAGATTAATATTTTCGGCTATGAAGGTCTTACAGGCTCTGCTGTAACGACTCAACTCTGCTGCTGTGGCCCAAATGCAGCCAGAGACAAGGTGCACAGGCGGGTGTGGCTGTGCTGAGAAAACCCCGTCTGCGGAGCCCTGGCTTAGTAGGAAGGGCCAGTTTATAGATATAGCTTAGGTTGAGGGGCAGAGACCAGCATTTAAACGATACTGAGAAGCCAAAACAAACACTGCTCTTCCGCTGCCCTGGAAGAGAGGCTTGCTGGGGAGAAGCTGCCAGGTGAACAGTTGTGAAAAATAGGGATGCCAGGACATGTCCTCTCTGCATGGTCCCTGGCTCTTCAGCACCACAAGGCAGGAAAGGAGGCAGCTGGCCTGGGAACTGAGGCCTCTCCAAAGCCAACATCTGTCATTTGTGTGTGTGCAGCAGGCCTCCTTCACCTGCGAGAAGACTTTTGGCAGCACCACTCACCGCATAGCCATTGACAGCAGCGATGACTGGCTTCTTGACCTGGGTGACGGAGTCCCAGTGGCTCAAGAACTGGTGGGAGTAACACTCCTGGAAACTCAGGTTCTGCATTTCCTTGATATCAGCTCCAGCTGGGAGTGGAAAGGGGGTTCCAGTTACCAGAGAGCAGAAAGCCCACCTGCCCTGTATCCCCCAGACCAACAAGGAGCTTTGGAGCACACCAGACATGGGCACTGTGGTTGCTGGGCACGGCTGACACCAGGCCACATGGACAGCTGTCAGGATGCTGTGGTGCCAGCCCTAACAGAGGTCATGCAGAAGGGCCCTGGGGCAGGTGGCAGGTACGAGGGAGGCGCCCACAGAAGCTCGGCGTATTCGTCATCACATAAGCCCTCGACATACACAAAGCCTGACTGCCAAGGCCCTGGACCCCTGTAAAGAAGCGATTTTGCTGCACGTGGAGCACTTGTGGCACACACAAAGCTGCTAGTGCAAGCAGTTCCCACGCCCATCTCCACTTTACATTTGAATAAATCCCCAACCGTGTGCCTTTGCCTCACAGAGGTGCAAGTCAAGCCACACGTGCCTCCCACATCAGCCCAGATGCAAAGGCCTCCACTGCTGTGCACACCTGCAAAGGCCTTCTCCCCGCCGGTGAGGACGATGGCCCCCACGGCCGGGTCCTCCTGGAAGGTCTTCAGTGCCTGATTGAGCTCCTTCATCAGCCCATTGCAAAGTGCATTGAGGGCCTTGGGGCGGTTCAGCTGGATCAACCCCACGGTGTTATTCTTCCCCCTTTTTTCTGCGATGATGTACTCAAAGTTAGCACCTAGGGCGAGAAGGCAAAAAGGGGTCATCTGTTCACACAGGTGTCAAACTGAGGAGAGCGGGGGCTGGTCTTGGCCTATCGGGAAACAGTGTAATCATTTCACATTGTGATTATTTCATGATGCTCCCTTCTGGAAGGGATGTGGCCCCATCAGCGGATAGAGTGTGACCCCAAGAGGCCCCCTGAGGGCTCCCTGAGCAGTGCTCAGTGGCTCCAGGTGTAGCTCTCAGCCACATGGATATATGATGGCCTTGGTACCATTCTCTCTGCTTTCACGTGTGTTTCAGCATGTCCTGAAGAAAAATCCCCAGCACAGAGCATAGCCCACAGACACACTCCTTCTCCCAGGAGGCCGTGGTCAGCTGTTCCCAGAACACTGCACTGGAGGCAGCCCTGGACTCTGCTGAGACAAGGCACCAGGAAGCGCCTTCCTTCGACAAATGCCAACAGGTGAGGAGTATAAGCCTCAAACGGGACAGAGTGCCAGCTCCTTGAGGCTGGGACTACCCTGGTACCAAGACCTCTGGTCAACCGGGTGCAGGGTGGGGGCCGTGAAAATCCCAGGTGTTCCCGGTCAACCGGGTGCAGGGTGGGGGCTGTGAAAATCCCGGGTGTTCCCAGTCAACCGGGTGCAGGGTGGGGGCCGTGAAAATCCCAGGTGTTCCCGTGGCTCTAAGATCAGGCACAGCTCCTGTGCAGCAGGCCAGCCTGAAAATGGGAGGCGCAGGCACATCTTGGGCTGGCCCGCTGTACAGGAGCTGCACCTGCTGGGTGGACAGCAAGGTGAGACGGAGACAAAGGACAATGGCGCTCCGGGGTAAGAGGGTGAACCTGAAAAGACAAGAGTCCTGTGTGTTGGGTGCTTGCCTCCATTAGTGGCAAAACAGGGATCACAGTGCCTATCCCGTGGGTTTTTGTTTTTCTGAGATTAAGTCTTGCTCTATTGCCCAGGCTGGAGTGCAGTGGCACAATCTCAGCTCACTGCAACCTCCGCATCCAGGGTTCACGTGATTCTCCTGCCTCAGCCTCCTGAGTAGCTGGAGCCACAGTCAGGCACCACCACCCCTGGCTAATTTTTGTATTTTTAGTAGACATGGGGTTTCACCATTGGCCAAGGTGGTCTCTAAATCCTGACCTCAGGTGATCCACCTGCCTCAGCCTCACAAAGTGCTGGGATTACCAGCTTGAGGCACCGTGCCCCACCTCATCCTGTGGGTTTCTAGGGGTGGCTAGAAGCTCACAGGTGAAGTGTCTGGCAGCCGTGCCTGCCATGCAAGACCCAGGAAAGGGCTGCCGATCACAGGCCAGGGTGCAGAAGTGGACAGCCAAGGACAGCTTGGGGATGAAACCAACTCAGCTTGGCGGTCCACTGGGTTCATGGCGTGGGGGAGGAAGAGGAAGCAAGGGTCACTCTCCAGCCCAACGCATGGGCAAAGATTCCTCCTCATACTAGAGCAGGTGACGGCCACGTGCGAGTGGGGACCCGGGCGAGCTACAAGGGAGGAAGAGAGCAGTGCCCTGTGGCCAGGGAGGAGGTGTCAGCCTTTCCCTTAGGACTCTCTGAGGGGTGGCCCCGGCCAGGAGGCACCCAGCACAAAATGTACCTGCATCTCCTGTTCTCAGGCTGGCCTATGACACAGGACCGAGGCCTGTCTTAGCGAGGAACACTCGGCATTTTCACAATCCCCACCTGTGGCTATTTGACAAGAGATCTTGGCCCTGGGGCAGTACCAGCCAGCGCCCTGCCCCTGGACACAGCTTGGTGAGAGGGACGTCCTGCAGAGCCATACTGGTTTCGGGGTGCGGGCCATGGTCAGGTGGGTGATGTCGGTGGGGTGGGGGCGGGTGTTCCGCCAGGGTCAGGCTGTGAGTGCGAGTCAGGTTGAGGGGGGTGCAGCCCCAGGTGAGAGGGGGTTTTGGGCCCCGGGCCAGGCCTGGGCTTCGGGTTGGGGTCAGGTGGTAGGTGCAGGGTCAAACAGGGGAGTAGGGGGTCAGGCCGGGGGGTGCGGGGTCAGGTGGAAGCGGGGTGCGGGTCGGGGTCAGGTGGGGGTGCGGGGTCAGGTGGAAGCGAGGTGTGGGTCGGGGTCAGGTGGGGGTGCGGGGTCAGGCGGGAGGGGGGTGCGGGTCGGGGTCAGGTGGGGGTGCGGGGTCAGGCAGGAGGGGGGTGCAGGTCGGGGTTAGGCTGGGTGGTGCGGGGTTAGACGGGAGGGGGGTGCGGGTCGGGGTCAGGTGGGGGTGCGGGGTCAGGCGGGAGGGGGGTGCGGGTCGGGATGAGGTGGGGGTGCGGGGTCAGGCGGGAGGGGGGTGCGGGTCGGGATGAGGTGGGGGTGCGGGGTCAGGCGGGAGGGGGGTGCGGGTCGGGATGAGGTGGGGGTGCGGGGTCAGGCGGGAGGGGGGTGCGGGTCGGGGTCAGGTGAGGGTGCGGGGTCAGGCGGGAGGGGGTGCAGGTCGGGGTCAGGTGGGGGTGCGGGGTCAGGCGGGAGGGCGGTGCCGGTCGGGGTCAGGTGGGGGTGCGGGGTCAGGCGGGAGGGGGGTGCGGGTCGGGGTCAGGTGGGGGTGCGGGGTCAGGCGGGAGGGGGGTGCGGGTCGGGGTCAGGTGGAGGTGCGGGGTCAGGCGGGAGGGGGGTGCGGGTCGGGGTCAGGTGGGGGTGCGGGGTCAGGCGGGAGGGCGGTGCCGGTCGGGGTCAGGTGGGGGTGCGGGGTCAGGCAGGAGGGGGGTGCGGGTCGGGGTCAGGTGGGGGTGCGGGGTCAGGCGGGAGGGGGGTGCGGGTCGGGGTCAGGTGGAGGTGCGGGGTCAGGCGGGAGGGGGGTGCGGGTCGGGGTCAGGTGGGGGTGCGGGGTCAGGCGGGAGGGGGTGCAGGTCGGGGTCAGGTGGGGGTGCGGGGTCAGGCGGGAGGGGGTGCAGGTCGGGGTCAGGTGGGGGTGCGGGGTCAGGCGGGAGGGGGTGCGGTCTGAGGTCAGGCCGGGGGGTGCAGGTCGGAGTTGGAGGGGATCCGGGCCGCCGGCTCTCACCGGGCACTCACCCGAGGCGAAGGGACGCCATGCCGAGCAGTGGAGCGAGGGCCTCAGTGGGCCGCGGACGCGGGGCAGCAGGACACGAACGGCGGCCATGGCTCTCTCCACCACGCGCCCCGCCCGGGCGCCGCCCCCGCGCCCCGCCACTCCGGGCTCGCCCCGCCCACAGGCCGGTGCCGCGAGACCAGGCGGCATCGCGAGATCGGCCCGGGCGGAGTGGGCGGGGCGCTCCCCTCCAGGCCCCGCCCCCAGCTCCGCGCGCGCCGCGGGTCCGAGTCTGGGGGCGTCTCGGGGACCCCGTCCCGGCCCAGCCCCCGCCGCCGGGCCCCTCCGCCCAGGCCACCGGGGCTCCGGCCGGCCGCGGGGAGACCGCGCCGCTGCGGGGCATGGCGGCGCCGGCCCGGGTCCGCGTCTGCCGGGGCGCGGGACGGTGGCGGCGGCGTGGCCGTGGGCGCCGCAGTGGGAGGAGCCTCGTTTTCAAGTACAGAGTCAGGACTTGAACAGATTTAAGCAATTAATACAATTTTGGTTCACTAAATTATTTTATTATCACTTTTAAGTATCTAGGCAAGTATCGTCGAGCATCTGTTTCGTGTCCTTGCCGCGATTCTGCAAACGCCAGGGTGGAGATAAAACGTCTACAAATGGAAGGCGAAACTGCGGCCGTGACCGGTGAAGGGTGCAGAAAACGCCCGTCGAAGCAAGGCAAGAATGAAGCAACAAAGCAGAGATTGATAGGAAAATGAGCGCGATTCCAGCACTTCGGAAGGCCGAGGTGGACAGATCACCTGAGGTCAGGAGTTCCAGACCAGCCTGGCCAACGTGGTGAAACCCCCTCTCTACTAAAAATTCAAAAAGTTACTGGGCGTGGTGGGGCACGCCTCTAGTCCCAGCTGCTTGGGAGGCTGAGGCAGGAGAATCGGTTGAATCCGGGAGGCAGAGGTTGCAATGAGCCGAGATCACACCATTACGCTCCAGCCTGGGCAACAGAGCAAGACTTTGTCTCAAAAAAAAAAAAAAAAAAAAAAAAAAAAAAAAAAGTGCTCGCTTTGGCAGCACATATACTAAAATTGGAATGATACAGACATTACATTAGCATGACTCCTGTGCAAGAATGACATGAAAATTAATGAAGTGTTCCATATTAAAAAAAAAAAAAAGAAGTAACTTCACAGTGTGTGTGCAGCCGAGCTTGGGGGCTAAGAGCCCCATTACAGATCTTTTTGGGGGGTTTAAATACCCTCTAGGAGTTCTCATTGGTTCCTTGGTGTACACACCCTATATAAATGGAGAGGACATTTCCTGTCATAGCTGGTGTTTCCATTTGATTTAATTCTACGGAGTCAGCATGAATTGGCCTTAGGTTCCTGGCCTCCAGAACCTGTTCTCTCCTCACAATGTTCCACAAAATAATTCAGTTCAAACCAAAAATGAACACGCACCAAGATTTTATTTCAAGACTGAGGGCAAAATAAAGACATCTCGTGTAAGCAGAAACAAATCACCAACAAAGCTTTGCTAAAAGATGCTCTGTATTAGTGTAGGTTAAACCTCTGGGACAGATAGGCCCAAAATGAAACAGCTCAAACAAAAAGAGGTTTCTTCTTTCTCTTTCTTCCTCCCTCCCTCCCTTCCTTTTCTTTCTTTCCTCTCCCTCCCTCCCTTTCCTTCTTTTCTGTCTCGATGTCACCCAGGCTGGAGTGCAGTGGTGTGATCTTGGCTTGTTGTAGCTTGCACTCCCGGGTTCAAGTGATTCTCCTGCCTCAGACTTCTGAGTAGCTGGGACTACAGGCATGCACCACCATGCCTGGTTAATATTTGTAGTTCTTCAGTAGAGTTGGGGGTTTTGCCATGTTGGCCAGGCTGTTCTTGAACTCCTGACCTCAAGTGATCTACCGCCTCGGCCTCCCAAAGTGCTGGGACTACAGGAGTGAGCCACCGTGCCTGCCAAGAGGTTTCCTTTCTAACACCAAGAGGTTGGGTGGCTCCTGTCCTCCATCAAGTAATTTAGCAACGAAAGCACAAGCAACAAAGGGGAATTTAAAACTTTTATGTCTGCAAGGACACTACCAAGATAGTGAGAGAACTGAACAGAAATTCTTCCAGTGAAGATAATCCGTGGTCAGCTAAGCTCTGAAACCATACTGATAGAATGTCACACCTGCGGTGCTGGCTGTAATAAAAAGCCCAGCAACCATCAGCATTGTGGGGGACGTGAGCGCGGAACACTGGTGCACTGCCGGCGGGAATGGAAGTGGAGCAGTCGCTGTGCAAAACAGTCTGGGCTTTCCTCAAAAGGTCAAACAGCAACTCCACTCTTCGGTGTACACCCGAGAGAACTGAAGACAAATGTCCACGAAAACTTTCATAAATTTATGATGAATAATGTTGCTATGAATGTTCATAGCAACTTTATTCATAACAGCCAAAAAGTGGGAAAAAGCCAGTTGTCCATCAGCTCATGAATGGGTAAACAAAATGTCATATACCCAAACAATGGATATGTTAGAATGCATTAGACTATACAGTGGACTACCGTTCGGGCGTACAAAGGAAAGCAGCACTGATACGCATTACCAATGGATGAGCCTTGAAAATGCTATGCTCAGTGAAAAAAGCCAGACACAAAGGTGGGTAACCCCCATCGGGGCAGCGAGGAAGGAGAGTTAAGCAGGTCCCAGCAAAATTAGTGCCTGAAGAATACCTTAGTATATAATGTTATTACTCAGTTATTTCCTTTATATAATCCTTTATATATAATCATATATTAGTTTATAGCATTAGTGCCTGAGGAATATCTTACTACTCAGTTATTTCCACATATATATAAAATTATATCTTAGCTCATGGTCGGAGGAATGCCTAGAGCAGACATGGTACAGAACGTGAATTAAGGAATAGGTGGCTTATTGCTGGAGGAATGTGTACAGCAGACACGGTGCAGAGCATGATTTAAGGGAAAAACAGTTATACCAGGACAAAAATCCATGGCCCAGGCGGCAGCATTCAGTATCGTAAAGATACCCGCTGTACGGCAGGCTTGGGGAGAGAGCCACTCCTCCTGAAGAAGGAGTCGTACCTTGTGTCCAGTTCTTGTGGAAGGCTGCCCTCAGACTGGCAATCCCACGAGCGTCCAAGGGCTTAAAACCCCTCCAATATAATCATGCCTTGGTGACTGTGTAACTCGTCAGCTCTCTAGCTACTGTGCTGGCTCAGATCATCCTTCTGTAGAAATCACTGGAAGCTGCCGGCAGGTGGCTGTAGACCCGTCAGCTCTTCAGCTGCTGTGCTGACTCAAAGCATCCGCCTATAGAATTCCTTAGAAGTAGCATGCCCCTAGATAAGAGATACTGCACACTGCACCCTCTTCATTGCGCACAGCCCACCTCCTTGCCTAGGCGACCTGATGGGGGTGGACCCCTTGCCTTGCACAGCCCGCCTCCTTGCCTTGGTGACCTGATGGGGGTGGACCACTTGTTTATTGCTCACGTGATTATCTTGACCCCATCACTGTCCTCAGGATAACCTCACTCACAACCCTGCCCCAAACCTATACCCAATAAATACAGATACTCCTGGACATTGAGGGCCTTGCCTGTCTCCACTCATAGGTGGCGTAGCCCCCCGAGCCCAGCTGTCTTTTCCAGTCCTTTCACGTCTCGTCTCCACTTCTCGAATCCAGCGCCTGAGCACAGCGATAGGGGCCACCTCACAACCCTGTAGAGCTATGACCCTACAAACGCCATGCATCGAGTGATTCCATTTCTATGAAATGTCCAGAACAGGCAATCCATGGAGACAGAAAATGGATTAGTAGTCACTAGGGGCTGGAGGGAGGGGGCAATGGGATGATGCTGCAGGGTATCCCCCTTTTTTAGGACATGAAAATGTCCTAAACTTGATTATGGTGATAGTTGTACAACTCTGTAACTGTACTGAAAACCATTGAATTGGACACTTTAAATGGGAGAAGTCGTACAGCATGATGTCTATATCAATAAAGCTATTTATGAAAATGAACAAGCCGGATTCAGTCACAGCCACATGGGTGGTTGCCACCTTGATCACCGAAGGTGGCATCACCCACGGCTCTCTGCAGCTAAGAGAGATATACCTGTACCAATGGGATGGGACAGAGGCTGTGCCTGTGTGTTCCGGGCGCTGGCTCTGGCTTGGCAGGACCGTCCGGGACCGGCCGTGGTCACAGCCACTCCACTTCAGAGCAAGGGGGGCGGGTGACTAACCCGGCCCCAGGTCAGAGCGGCAGTGGCAGCGGCAGCTGCTGTTTGATTCAGGCCGTGGCACTGCATCTAGGGAACAAATGGATTGTCCCCGCCCGCAGCTCTTGGGGCCCACATCTCCTCTCTGCGCCATGAAGCCAGAGTGTCCCATTTCAGTCATGTCACTTTGCAGTCACCCCCGTTCGCACCAGGCCTCCCGGGTGTGGGGCACAGCCATGCTTACCTCTGGCCTGTGTGGGCTGCGGTGGGGAGGCGTGGCCAGCAAGCTTCCGAGCCAAGCAGTTCCTGCTTTTATGGGATCCTTCTGCTCCACGAGAGGCTCTGGGACCAACCTGAACTAGAATTCAGTTACAATCTTCTGGGTCCCCTTTGGGCTGCGCTCCCTGAAGGAACCAGGAACGCGCTGGCCAGGAGGACATGATGGACCAGGAGGAGGTGACAGAGGCAAGGCCAGACCCTTCCTGTTCCATCTTGCAGAGGCTGTCCTAACATGAGGTGATGCCAGGTGCCTGGGGGACATTAATGCCTGACCGGAGCCCAGACTGGATGGCCTTCCAGCAAAGGCTGGGCCCTGGCCGACTGTAACAGCCCAGGAGCATGAGGACACAGGGGAGTCTCGGGCTGGAGGAGCTGGCTGACAGGATGGCGCCTGACACGGTGCTGAAAACAGAGCGGCAGCCCCCAGAGGCTGAGGAGCCAAAGTAGCCCACCCACCCAGAATGGCGAGGCCCACACCCACGCAGGAGGCCGGAAGCACGGGGTGGCACCCCTCACCGCCTCACCCACAGAACGTTGTGCTCCCGTGTCTGGGCAGTGAGCTGGGGCCTGCGGCCAGAGTAGCAGCCTGATTTCAGAGGGTGCCACTAGGGAGTGGGCCATCCCCTTGGCCATACCTGTGGGAGACCCAGTTCATCTGTGGAATTCAGGACCCCAGAGTATTTGATCTGCCCTCTCAGGACCTCCAGCTGGGGAGCTGGGGCAGGTGGTTGGGTGATCGTGCTGGGCTTCCTAGGGGCACGCCAGGAACCTGAGCCAGCAGCTCTGCTTCAGGCCTTAGAGCAGGGAGTAAGAGAGAGGCCTGCTCAGCAGGACAGGTGACACTAGCAGGGGGGCTGCACCCCCAAACACGTGTCATACGACTATGGGGGAGGGGGCAGCCCTTTTTTCCTGAGGCCTGGGATGTTGAGTGGGTCAGCTTGGTGGAGAGCTAGCCCTGCCTACCTGAGAGCTGCCCTGGCTTCCCTACGGCCTGGCAGCGGGAGGAGATGACCACTGCGTCCAGTGTCGCCTCCTGGTGCTGGGGACGCTCGCCCCCTGCCTGCCATCGCCCAGGGAGTCGGTACGCGCCCCAGGCACCTGCCCCTCTCCCTGCCTGCAGCGGTGCCTGGAGCTCAGCTCACGGGGTGGGCTTGGGAGCCTTTTCTCCAGCTGGGACGAGAGGGCATCAAAGGAAAGGAAGACACGGCTCAGGAGGCCCACGCCGAGAGCCAAGGGGACAGCCGACGCCAGCAAACTTGAGCGCGCGGCCCCTCCGCAGAGGATGGGGTTTAGGAGGCCGGGACGCGCCTGAAAACCCGGCAGGAGAGTTTCCAACCCCTGCGGACTGCGATGCTGTATAAACGCGGCCGCCTGCACCGGGGGAATTCCAGAAATACAGGCGTGCCTGGGTGTGCGCTCAACTTCTCCAGAGGCTGCGCAGGGCGAGAGGCGGTTCTGCACTTGCTCTCGGCTTTTCCTGAACTTGCGCTTTGCTTGTGGGTCGTCCCGTGTCCCCGCAGACCCGTGGCCGCCCACGCACACGCAAACCGAGGGGCGGTGGCCTTGCTGGAGGCTCTCACGGCGCCGCTCTCCCAGGTCCCACCCCTGACACCGCGGCACCCCCAGACCCACTGCACCCTCGCTCTCGGC